TCGAAAACTACAAATGATAAAAAATCATAAAATTTACATCTGTTTCATTGATTATCGCCTAATATTTAGGTAAATAAACAATGTCATTTTAAAAAATTTTTCATATGAATTTTTTGCAAAAAAGTAAAAATGACATTTTTTACATCATGTTATAGTTTTAATTGTAATTTGTTTAAACAAATATTTAAAAATACAATTTAAAATTAATCTTAAAGTACACTAACAGGACTATATTTACAACTAACAATAACTTTATATTCAGACTCTTTTATTGTTTTTTAAATTCTTTAAATCACATACTTTTAAATAAAATAAGCATCATAGATTAATTCAATTGTTTTTTTATTAAAATTTAAATATTAAATATAAACTATTTATTATATATTAGTATATATGTCATTTGATATAATAATTATAAAATTGATAGATATTTTCAATCAAATAATAAAATATGTTGAAATTATCACACATAACGAAAATTTTTTAGTTTTAAGATAAAATTATCTACTTAAATATAAATTTGTTTTTTATAATTCTACTTATCATTAGTAGATACTTATATACATACTATTCATGAAAGAAAATTAAATATATCTCACTTAAAGAAAAAGTTAGACATAATTTTATAAGATATAGTACATGATTCAGCAAATTACAAAAAGTCATTATATTTATTTTTATATATTTGTCATTAAGAAGAAACAAGCTAGCTCTAACAGTGTGGCATTTAAAGTCAAGTATATTGTTAGACGGATAACATGATAACTTTAGATTTTTAACAATTATATATAACAATATAATGCTAAACAATTTAGCTTTAGTTCTGACAATTATTTTATTATAAAATTTTAAATATTAATATTAAAATTTTGAAAACTTTTCTGAACAATCATCTAGGCTAATATTATTTAATGAAATATTATCACATTGGAATTTATTATTATAACATTTAAATAATCACTATAATTAAAAAATTTGTTTAGTCAAATTTGAATGTCTTTTACTAAAATGATAATAATTGGTAAAATATAGAAAAACTAAATTCAAATAATTGTAAAATGTAAATATAAATAATCGACCTTTTTTATTTAAAAAGAATCACATTTTTATCTTTATTAGTTGCATCATAATAATAACGTAAAAATTGATGTACTAAAACGGTCATTACTTGTTATATAATGCTTATAGATGTAATAATAGATATCAATAATCAATAATAAAATTTGTAAGATAACTCATTTCATGAGTTTAAATATTTTTTAATTTATTAATCAACGAACAAATCTAGATTATAGACAACCAGTAGAAAAATTATTTGACCCCAAACCCAAACCCATCCCCACCCACCCAACCACTTCCTAACCTTTCACTCACATAGGGTTGTTATGTCAAATTTTGAAAATAGAGGATATTTGAAAAAATATCAAAGAACAATAGGAAGACAGTTGCTATTTTAGTTTAAATTAAAGTTTTATATATTTTTAATTTTATTAACATATCACGTTTTTACATAGTTTTAAATAACTTTAACATTTGTTTAGTACAACTAACTTAAAAAATATAAAAAAGTAAGTTTCAATACTACTTTTGTTATTTATTAATATTCTAAATAATACACTAATTATTAATAATTTTTACAATAATTTTATTATATAAAAATATATAAGATTTTATTATATTTTTAATTACTTTTATGAAAATATAAAAGTGGAGGACATTTGCATTTTAGGAGATTAGTCACCGGAGAACTGTGTCATATAACACAAATCGGAGGACAATTCTCTAAAATGCTAGACGTCTAACAACCCTACACTCCAAACTAACCCTAACTAAGTAATAAGTTAGTAATAAAACTAACATTTTATAACTATAGTTATGTATATCTTCATAAAAGGCAATACTTTTTACTGGATGTCTATAAACTAGATTTAGTTATTTAATTTAATCAAACGACTTAGTTATCCATCGATGTGTTTGTTTGTTTCTCTTATATTAATCGTTTGTGCGGATAGTTGTTGTAATTACTAATTAATCAATTTTATCGATGCAATTGAATGGAAATATTAAATTATAACAAAACACGTGAGAAATCAGAAAACAAACAATTATGATATCAATAGTAGTCATCAATAATAAAACAATTCATTCATTCAAACAAAATATTATARCAGTAAAAATATTTTCAACAAAAAATTATTGATAAGTTWTAAACAAATAAATTTTTATTGATTTATTATACACACTAGTTAGTGGGGATGGGTTTGGGTCAAATATTTTTTCTACTGGTTGTCTATAAACTAGATTTAAATTAGATTTTAAAAAAAATTAATTAAACAACAATTAGCAATATAAATGGATATACGTAATAAACTGTATTTGCATTTATCATATACCACTACCAATTAGAGTAATATATATATATATATATGTGTGTTTTTTGTTAATATTGTTATATCATATAACTAAATAACATGTTTTTGGTTTTCATTTTGTGAAATTTAACGATATTTTAGATATGATTTCTGATTTTGGGAATTAGTTTATGAAACTCAACCAAAACTGCAGCGAAAATGAATACTGAAGTGAATCCATTGGGAATTAAAGAAAATACTGAATAAAAACATTTTATTTTAAAAATCCATTTCTTTTCCTTTTAATTCCATTTATATTATTAATCTAAAAGTTTTCCTTATTATTATTATTTTATGTTGAGATCATTACTTTATACTTAATACTATATTTATATTATTATTATTAATTTATTATAACTGAAAATTATATGTGCAATATTTAATATGATAATTAGTTTTCTCATGAAATTGTTTTAAAATTTTATTTTATAAATTATTTGTATAGTATTTTTATTAATTTGTTTAAATTTATTTAAAGAATGCAATTAAATATTATAATTAATTCAACTAAATATATTTTTTACCTTAAGATTAAAAAATAATTGTGGATTTTATTTACAATTAAATAAAAAATTAAGTTTTATATACTAGTTATTTAACTTTTAAAAATTATATTTTCTTATTTATTTGCTTTATTTGTAAATTATAGTCTGATTGTTGTACTAACGTTATATTTTACTATTTTTATTATAAAGTATATATATATTTAACTATATTTAAACYCTTTTCCTTTTCTATCCCTATCTGTCAGTGACTTAAACATCTCTATGATTGAAAACAATTAATTTAGTATCGCTTTGATCTTAAATTAATTATTGTACTTTAATATTAAATAAATTATGTAATTATTTTTTAAGATTACATTAATGACCTATTTTAAATTGTGGTAATTAGAGGACATCACGCGCTGAACTGATTTAATTGTAGATAATTAAGTTAATCTTTACTTAAATTTAGCCAACGTTTGGTCTCTTAAGAATTGGTTATTTTTATTCATAATGATTAGTTGTTTACGTATTTTTGTATCTTTTCTCTATTATTTTAAAGATATATATTTAGTAATAGTAAAGTTTAACAATAATTAAGACAACGTATTAGTTAAAGACTAAAGATGACATCCATTGCTATTTAGATCATCAGAATTGATAATATTTTATATATTGTTATATAAGACAAGTTAAGGCAGTTATTGACAGCAAGTGTCACACACTTAGCAATGACTTAATGGCAAACATTTGCAATACATTAGCTCTTTTCGTGAAGAGCTGTCTCCAYATATCTGTCCAATTAATTAATGATAAATCTGTTCCTCTTTTAACCTTATTTTCAGTGTTTACTCTAATATATAAATTGTTTGTTTTGACGCTTACAAACATTACACAACAAACTATTGTTTTATTACTCTATTGGTCATCAAATCATTATATACTGTTTTTCAATACTTTTCTTAACCATTGTATAAGTATAGGACAATCTATAATCTTTTTGTAATCATTAATTCTGATACAAAATATATTTTAGAGTTTTTTTATAGAAATATATAATTGCAATTTATATGACCGGTATATACAGTAGTAACACAGTTTAATTAGATAAAATAAATATACGTAAATTTATGTTAAATTATATGTACTATTTGTCAAAGCATTACTTATTGGCGATGACATTGTTTTTGCGAAAATAAAATAATAATATTTATAAAAATACTGTAGATTCTGATAGATATAACTTATGTGTTAAAGTATTTATTGATTAATAATAAATTATATGTTAGATCAACAAATACTATAAATTTTTTACCCTAAATATGATAATAAATAGGTAAGTTTTTAAGAGTTATATATATATATAATATTTTGAACATTACTTTATTATTTAGAGAATGTTTGTCTAATACTGTATATTAAGTGTGCCATTGTCTCAAACATAACATGCATTGTGTGTAATATATAGATAGATATAAATGATATACTCATCAAAATAAATAAAATGAAATGATATTTAGAGAGAAAACAGTTTTCAATTGAAAAAACATTTGRTCTTTCGTTTGATTTATATATTTGTCTCTCATGAGAATCTCACTGAAAGATTCATTGATTTTAGTTATTATAGTGAAAACATTGAAAATGTCTTTACAAATAACAAAGTTTCAAAATAATAAAAATAACAATTTATTATTTATATTATTTACATATAATTATTACCGGTTAGTTTATTGAAAGATAATTTTTATTTAATTTGTGATATTATTATTATTTCAAATTCTGCGATTTTAAAAATAATTATAAATTATATATAATTTATGAGTTTTCTAATATTGGAGTATTATATTTGATATACTGTATTACAGTAGCCATTTCACGGGTAATTATATAAATTAAATAAATTAATGTTTTAGTGATAAAATTAAAGCAAATACTGTAATTTCTTCAACTTTTAAATAGTTTTTAGTTTAAAGTTAACTTTTAGTTATAATATTAAATTTAAAAATAATTATATATTTTTAAAATATTTTTTAGTTGTGTAGCTATAGTATCACAATATTGTTTATTGATTAAAAAAAATAAAACTGAAATAATTTTTGTACAGATAATAGCAAATGTGGTGATATTTCTGGCGGTTAATATGATTGGTTTGTTTGCACATAATTTGATGGAAAGAGCCGGAAGAAAGGCCTTTTTGGACACAAGAAATTGCATTAACGCGAGACTAGAGATGGAAGACGAGAATGAAAAACTCGAAAGACTTCTCTTAAGTGTTTTACCGCAACACGTGGCGATGGAAATGAAAGCCGATATACTGTCACCCCGAGAGTTGGGACAGTTTCACAAGATTTACATCCAGAAGCACGAAAATGTCAGCATTTTGTTCGCAGATATAGTTGGCTTTACAGTACTGGCCTCTCAGTGCACCGCTCAAGAGTTGGTCCGATTGCTCAATGAATTATTTGGTCGCTTCGATCAATTGGCTAATGATAATCATTGTTTGAGAATTAAAATTCTTGGGGATTGCTATTACTGTGTCAGTGGTCTACCGGAGCCGCGTTCAGACCACGCAAACTGTACCGTTGAGATGGGACTCGATATGATTGACGTGATTGCAGACGTCACTGAATCTACAGATGTCAACCTTAATATGAGAGTCGGTTTACATACGGGTCGTGTCCTCTGCGGTGTTCTCGGCTTAAGGAAGTGGCAATACGATGTCTGGAGCAATGATGTCACACTCGGTTAGCTCTCATATTAATACATACTTTAAATACAATCTATAGCTTGAAAATTAATAGTTTGCTCAAAATATGACAGTTATATTTATAAAATATTTAATTAGATAAGATTAGGATAGGATAGGATAGGATAGGGATGTGAAATATGGAAATTAAGAAATGATTGTTTTTTGGGATTATTGAATAATATATAAATATATTTGAATATTAATAGCCAACCAAATGGAAGCGGGAGGAGTGCCCGGAAGGGTTCACATAACTCAAGCAACACTMGATTGTCTTCACGGAGAATATGAAGTGGAGAACGGTTTTGGATCGGAAAGGAATAGCTATTTGCGTGAACACTGTGTTACCACTTATTTCATTGTTCCGCCACTTCATCGACGAAAGGTTTTATCAGTTTTATTATTTGAAGTTTTTTTAAAATAAATTTTAGAGTAAAAACATTATTATAAATATTACTGTAAAGTCTAAGACATTTAGTGCAGCATTTTTACAATACTTGTATAAACAGTTTTAGCACTGTTTAAATTCAAATGAAATTTTATTCAACTTATGCATTGATTTAATTTCAAGAGTTTTTTCATTGAATTAAGTCTTATTTTTTGGCATAAAAAATCATTAAAACGAAAAATATCTATTATTATTATTATTTGGAATACTAAGTAAATAGAAAAAAATAATTCAGAATAATATTGATTCAGATTTATATACAAAATAACATGAGATACTAAAATAGGGTCAATAAAGGCCAAAAAACATATAATATTATATAATATAAAGGACTGGTTGACGATATGATAGCTATATATTCTACTGTATTATAGTTATATAAAAATTATATAATTATATACATCTTTATATACATATAGCCGGAGAGGATATACAATCACAGAATAACAGAATTTGTGTTTTAGTTTAAATAACTATATTTAGCTCAGCTTTTAATTTATTGTTCATTTTTATATAAAATTACATTTAATGCTTCATTTAATTAATAGTATTTCTTATACACGCTATGCTTATATATTATATTTATAAAGTAAGCTTATTTATACTTATTTAAAATATTAGTATAGATATAATCTGTTATTATTATGAGAAAGAAAGCTCTTAAATTTAAGAATATTTTAATAAACATATTTATTAAAAATTAATTATAGAAACCAAATTAATTATAAATGTAATTAATAGTAAATTATTGATCTTTTTATAGCCATTTTTATTTAATACATTACAAGTGCGTCAATTGGCTGCCGGATCGGCTAAACGGAAGCTGTCCTTTAAAAACGTATCCAATGTTGTCATTCAATTATTGCATTCAATTAAATACAATATAGACGTCCCCTTCGCTAATATGGCAATGATTCCGACGGTTAATCTTCAGTCAACAACTCTCGACAATCCTTTACCAAAAAAAGTTTGATTCAATTTAGATATTAATTTATTAATTATATATTAACCAAATGTTGTGTGTTTTATAGTTTAAAGTGACTGATAAGTTGCGCAAACCATTTAAAAAGAGGCATTCAGTTGTCTACCATCAGGGAACCAATCGGGTTAACAAATACTTGGCTCAGGCTATCGATGCTCGCAGTGTTGACAGAGAAAAGTCAACTCATGTTAATGTCATAACCTTATGCTTTAAAGACAAATACAAAGAGCGTCAATATCATGAAGAGAAAGATCTAGGCTTCGGTATGGCGTTGGCCTGTGCTATGGGTGTCCTTATATTGTTGGCAACACTTCAGATTGTTATACTTCCCCGGTTTGGCATAATTAACAAATTGACATTTTTTTATTTAATATATAAAATATGTATAAATCGTTTCCTTTTGCTGACAGAACTCTAATTCTGGTCATATTATTCTTAGTGGCCTTCGTTTGGATCTCTGTTTTATTGATTCTTGTTTTAGGCGCTCGTCTTCAGGTATATTATTATTTCAGACTTTTATTATTTAAAGGTTTCCTGAAAACGACTCTATAAACAGTTATTTCTCATAATATTATTATAAATAAATGATTTAAATAAATATTTAATATTCTGGAGATTTATTTGATTAGATGTTTACATATTCTGTGCAAAATTTAAAAGTCATTATTTATTTAATATTTTTAATCTAAAATTTATTCCCAATAAGTTATGCCATCATATGTTTAATTAAAAGTTGAAATTGTGATTAATATTKTAAAAAATATTGAGATTTAGTTTACTTTATTTCCTTAAATTAAATTGTTTTTACAAGAATATTATAAATATATTCTGTATTTGTATTTTAGACAATGAATTAAAATATAGTTAATTTTTTTAGTGCGTTTGTTGGGATATCTCAAAGCACTTTCTGTTACGTTTGGGAATAATGATCTTCACGGTTGTCATAATTTATTCAGTGGCTCAGGTCAATGTGGTAAGTGATCCCTATTTAATATAACTGTATATTTTTACACTTTATATTATATAATAATGTGTTATGATAAGCAAAACTTTGTAATACTCGTAATTACTATTATTAACAATTGGATAATACATACATTTGTTATTACATGAAATGAAAATATCTGATCTTTTTATAGTTCACATGCCTTGAAGATGCAGTTTGTGATACAACTAAAGGAATTGATGATAAACTTGTTATAGATGACCACCGTTTGTGTCCATTTCCTCATTATATTATAATGAGTTGCATCTTAGCTTTCTTTCCTTTGGTTATATTCTTGAGGTTACCGATGATGCTTAAGGCAGCACTACTTATACCAATGGCCGCTGTCTTCCTTATTGTCATTGAATTCACTCACAACAGACTATTTCAATGCACTTATGAGTAAAGTTTTAATTAATTATTGCAAAAGTTATATATTTTAAGTGAAGCCTTATTTTGATGAATTAGATTTGATGTACCGCTCAATATAACGGGACCCGTCATTATAATGCACTTTGTTTTTGCCGTTTTAATTCACGGACGACAAGTCGAGTGGACGGCTCGTCTCGACTTCTTGTGGAACTCTCAGGCTTACGAAGAAAAGGCAGATATGAATGAATTACAGAGCAGTAATCGACGCATACTTTTCAATCTTTTGCCATCACATGTGGCCACACACTTCCTCGACAATCAATTCAGAAATAATATGGTTTGTTTAACTTTTTAATTATATGATTATAATATGTCTTATTATATTGAAATATATTATTAATGTGTCATTTAATTAGGATCTCTATCATCAATCATACACTAAAGTCGGTGTTATGTTTGCATCGATACCTAATTTTATGGAGTTTTATATTGAATTAGACGGCAATAATCAGGGCGTTGAATGTCTTCGTCTATTAAATGAAATAATAGCCGATTTTGATGAAGTAATGCAATATTAGTTTTGATTAGTTTAAGATTTATTTATAACATTAAAAACAATTGTTAAACACTTACAGTTGTTGGATCACCAACAGTATAAAGCCATCGACAAGATTAAGACAGTTGGCAGTTGTTATATGGCAGCCATTGGACTGATTCCAGAATACAGAATACCTGTGAGTATTATCTTTGACTTTAAAAACCCAAATGTTGTGTCTATTGTTGAAAAAGAAATGTCACGTTCTCTACAAATGAACGCTCGTTTGAATCCATAAATTGTATATTTATTTATAGGAAAACGACACGACATTTGCCGCCCAATGTATGAGTTGTTTAGTGGACTTAGTATTTGAAATGAGAGAACGTTTGGCGGAAATTAACGAAAACTCTTACAATAACTTTATGCTTCGCATCGGTCTTAATATAGGACCCGTTGTGGCCGGAGTTATAGGTATTTGACATTTACTTTATATTAATATTATATTTCTCTTTAAACAAAATCATATCTTTTTATTTTATTATTTATTTTAGGCGCTCGTAAGCCTCAATATGATATATGGGTAAGTATTTTGTATATATATATCAATATTATATTTATATTTGACAGTATATTTAAATTTGTTTGACACTGTTTAGGGCGATACTGTCAACTTAGCCTCGAGAATGGATAGTACAGGTCTACCTAATTATACTCAATGTACTGAAGCTGTCTATCAATTACTTAAGGTTAATATAATTTTTTTTAAACTTTATAAGTAAAACATGTTTTAATATYTTAGGAGTGTCCGTATGAGTTTCAATGTAGAGGAAGAGTTAAAGTTAAGGGAAAGGGAGAGATGACTACATATTTTTTAATCGATCGTAAAAACCAAAAGACTTGCAATAATTATGAATTTMTTAATTCTGCAAATAATGACTGYAACAGTAAATCAATGAATTTACTTAATAGTGATATTAATAATAGCTTAACAAACAACTCAAATAATAAAGTCAAGTCAAATATACCAATTAATGGCAATAAAACCAATTTTGCAAATCCGCCAATAATTCAATCAACGAAATATCCCATAAAGATTGCAAATATTACTAAAAGAGCTGATTCTATACCCAGTTATAACCCACCGAAGCCCATCATAACAGATATGGCCTCAAGACCTAAATTCAGTCGATCTCCTCTAAATACTCTCAGCTTTTCGATTACTGAAGAACTTTCATTACCTGACTCAGTGTCCCATCAAAACAAAGGCGATGTCTGGGAGACACTTAAAGAGTTGAGTGCATCTGTTCCTCCGCCTCCACTTGAAAGTGATCACTTGGTTTCCAATCACGACATTCAACGACTAACAGGTGTCCAGGAAACCAATTTGGATGACATAACACCTCCATTACCGCCCAAAAACAATTCAAACAAAAAGCCTTTTCATAATTCTTTACTTAGAAATAGCGCTCAAAATTCAAAACCAACGAATGTTTGTCTGTCTCCGACTTATTCAGAAAAAGCTGTCTCTTTAACTGAAACTAATTGTGCAACTGTTGAAAGCCGTGAAAGTTTAGATGATATGGATTGTGACCCAACTCAGGCCACATCTGCCAGAGGAACGGGTAGACCATCTTCTGTTGACGAATCATCGTTTTATCATTCGTCGTCTTCATCAGATGTGGCGCCCGTTACCGATGCAGAGACCACATACGGTGGTCTAACGCGTACTGATTTAGACACACCATCGCCAGCATTCAATCGCCATTCTGGTGGTTCCGCTAGTCTTCAATGGGTTTATCCAAATATGGAACAAAAATCAGAAGCGGATCATTCATTTGTTCGGATGTCTAATAGAGACGATTACTATATGTTCGGTCAAAATAAAGACTCAAAAGATTGCAAACCAAAGACAGAACAACCTTTAAATAGTAAAAGACATTATCTTCACATTCATTATCATAATCATCCACAGAACTCACACAATGCAACTAATGATATCACAAAATATTCAAATACTAAAAGTCATGGCACTTCGGGGCCAACACATTCCGGCTCCTATAAGAGTGACGGTTCTTCCGGTACTAATAGTGCCCGAAGAAGACATCGAAATAATAGAAAGGATCGGACAAAATATGAAGATGACATCAATGTTCCGCTTCTTTATAAGAATTCACTCATTGGAAGAACAGTTACGAGTGATACCGAGGAAGAGCTCGATGTGAACCTAATTGGAGCCGCTTCGGCGTCACGAAGAAGATGTGACCAAATTAGACGATCGCCATCTTTTGGGTCAAACTCATCACGCAGTCAACGAAAGGGAAGTCTTCCCGATTATTATAAGTCAAATTCAAACTCAAAATACGGTAAAATTTTACCAAAAAAGTTGCCGTCAATGGAGAGTATGTCCAAACAAAATGTAGAATATTCGCCACAAATGCGGAAAAAAGGTTCGCTTCCAATGATACCACTCCAAGAAATTCGAAATGTTGGCAAATATTTTAATGAATTTGATCCTAAAAATGATAACAATATACTGACAAACAATTTACAGATTAGCTTTGAAGAAGAAGATAGAAATGAACCGAACTGTGATGTATTGATTGCCACTAATAAAGACAATCACAACGAACAGGAACTTATCAAAAGCAAAGCTCTTAAATCAAAGGCCGACACACTCTTGGAAATGGCAGTAGACTTGGCTGAACTCGAGGAACAATTGCAAAGCAGTACGTCTTCAGGTCTGAAGGCCTATCGATTTCCATTAGAAGACATTGATTTTTCTAAAAGGGAACAAAAAATTAATAATAAAAGTGAAAATAATTTAAATTTAAAACAATTCGCACAACGAAGACATGCAAAGGAATCGGAATATGAAAACATAGATTCCGATGACATTCCCTTATTTAATGACAACTATGATGAAGACGAAGATTACAATAAATTAGATGACAATCAATTAGATGATCGATTGGCAAGTGATGAATGTGAYGACCATTCATTGCCGGAATCAAATCAATTGTTTGATAAGACTTGTGATGACAGTGTTGTCGGATTGGATGGACTGTCAGTTATGAATGACGCTGGACTTACTGATGCCGAGGGAGCGCTTAGTGAAGTTAATTCATTGTTAAACGATGGACATGAAGGAGATATGGATGACACGAGTATGTCTTCGAGATCTAATGCCAGTTCACGAATGCTCGATAATATTGACTCAATTAATCTCATGTATGACTCGGAATTTGAATATCCGGCGGCTAATAGACATATGAGACCAGATATCTTGTCAGATGATGACTGCTTTAATGTGGATCCGGACAATGATTTAAACATTAATTATTTGGAAGGACAGCATTCGGGCGTCAATTTAGTGACTCCGAACACTTTAGCCGAACGATTGGAAAACATTCGTATTATGACTAACAATATTACCCGAAATTTCGGTCAAACGAAGGCCAATGCTTTGCGTAGACAACCGGACGAAACCGATGATTCCGAGGCTTAGGTGTCAATCATTCACTGATTTTTCCCTTCAAAATATCACTCATTTGAAGGCTTGAGTGCCAAATATGTTATAATTTAGAAACAATAATAATGTTTCCGTTTATTGTTATATATAATGTTTAAAAATAATTATTAAGATTAATATTTTTCTGAATATAGTTAAACTAAATTTTAAAAATTATATATAATATTAATATAAAACAATAATGATATAAAGCAATCAATAACTTTAGCAAATAGTTATGTGTACCAAATTTATATGTATTTTTATGTCCGACAAATTTTAGTATAATTTTAATAATTTTAGTGTTTACTTAATATTTTTAATATTATTATTTATTATTTATTCATTTATTTATTTATTATCTATTATTGTACTGTATTTTTAATATATATWTTTTTTAATTAATTATACTATAGTTACATAAATATTTATTTATGTTATTTGCTATTCTTTGATATGATTTTAAATCTAAATTGATTTAATAACTTATTGTATATATAAACAAAATTCTGTTATTTACTAGTCGTTAAACAAAAAACAAAATGAAATTTTACACAAAGAAAATGATAGCAATATTTATTGATGTTTTGCACAAATTATATAACGAAACAATTGTCTGACAAAGAGTTTAAAAAAATTATATTTCTTTATAAAAAATGATTTTATCGTCAAATTGATCGCTCATTTTTCCTATGAATCTCTCTATTAATTGAATTTCTTATATAATTTATATCTTTATTATTTATATTAAATAATACATATAAATATACAGTATATTAACGCTTTAAATCAGCAAATTTAAAATACGTTTTTATTATTTATCAAATATATATTTGACATTTTCAACGAATTTCTTATATGAAACCAATAAAAGAAATGTTAAATCAGTAAAATATTTTATTTTTCTATTATATAAACATTTATTAATATTAATATTAATACAGTATAATAATAATATAAAAATAACTCTTCAAAACTTAATAATAATATATTTGGAGAACATGTGTTTGTATCAGATTTTCTACAAATGGTTAAAAATTAAACAAAAAAAAATTAATTAACCATGATACTATATACTATATAATTACAGTATAAAATTACAATAACTATCATTTGTATTATACTAAAAATATTTTATCTTAAACCCTGATTTACGTTTCAAATAATTTTTATATTTGTTGAAAATTTTGATTTTGAATTTCAATTATTAAAAGTTTAGAAATGTTAACATTTTTTTTAAATAAAAAATAAATATAAAAATCTACTCTAAAGGGAAACAATTATAGAAATATTTTAAATAAGTAGTGAAACAAAATGGATAATAAATAACAATATAATAATGATTTTTGTTTCAAAATATGTTATCAAACTCAAGGAGAAGGAACTCAATGATCTGGTTTTGATGCATACGTAACATCATATCCAATGCAAAATTGTTTGAGTCGTTTTCGGGCCACATTAGTGTCGGTCCAAAAACTATCGCCAAATTTTGAATATGCATCCGATTCTGGTCGCTGTGCTCTTTCACTCTATTATTAATCAAAAATTAATTATTTATTTACCGATAAAAACAATRTGATTCCTAAAAAACCTGAGTAAATGTGACAAAATATATTTAAGTGTCTCATAATTAGGTTTTGCCAATGAGTTGACTAATTTTGTCAACGATTCCAACTTTGGTTTCTTGTCAGTTAAAACTGAGATTAAAAGAATAATTTAAAATCAATTACTGATATTTATTATATTCATTTCAATTTAATTTAATTACTGATTGCTTTCATTAGTGAATCGAAACGATCGCATGGAAAGAGTGGTTCTTTCATATCTCGAAAAAACATTTTCAAAAGTCCGGTCAATACGTGGACGTCATCCTCAGCCCAAATACCAGAAAAGTCGTCGTTATTGATCTGAAACCTTAGTTTCTGGACTTGTGATAGATTACCACAAGCCCTATATAAACCATCGGCTGTAAGATCTTTAGCTTCAATTGCTTGAATGCATTGCTGTACAAACTTAGGAACCATTTGTTTGTCTCTTAAACATAAGATCTCTAGTTTTCCACCAAAAACTGGTTCGTCTATATTAACAAACATTTATATGATATCAACAAATAAAATATTAACTAAAGATTTAATACCTTTGAAGATGCCTTTCTCTCTTAGGCTCTCTAAAGTAGGTCTCCTTCTGAGGAATTGTCGCAATCGTTCTTTGATTTTCTTTTTCCTTTCTATAGGAATATTGTTTGCACTTTGACTCACACTTAATGAAAAATCATTTTCAGTCGTTTCTTCTCGTTTTCGATACTCTAATAATGTTTTGATAAAATGATTTACCGATAATTGTCAATAAATTTCTATTTGTTATTACGTTTAGTAGATTTGGATCTCTTGAGTTTACCGCCCAATTGTTTCTCATTAGAATCCGATTCATCACATAATGTAATACTTGGCTTTAATTAAGAATATGTGAGTTAATTGGTATTTAATTTTATTTCAAATATACAATTCATTTACCAGTTTTTGAATAGTATTCCTAATCAGATCAAACCATTCTTTGCAGAAGAGAGAGCACTCCTCTTGCAGGAGAACCTGTTGTCCGGAAACAGTACTTACTTGAAAACAATTCTTTCGACTCGATTTTTCGGGTGACCACGAAATCATAGCACCCGTCAGGTCTATAACTATTTCAGGCTTTGCACCCTTTCAAACAAAATGTCATTTAATTTTTAATTTAATAAATAAATAAATAAATTACCGATTGTGCGGTTTTCATATCTTTAAAAAATAATAAATAATATTTAGTCAGAGCTAAGTAACAATTAGACCAATTTTTGCGCAATCGTTTGCCGCCTTCTATTAGTTTGGATCGGTTTATAACTCCCTGTTTTAATGTCTAAAAAATATATTTTATTTAACTTAAATTAATTTTAATATATATTAAAATCAATTGACTGACCATTGCTTCATCGAGACTTGAGGGTGGAGTTTGATAGACAATTATAGGTTCGGGTTGAGTGTCGGGGGTCTCTTGCAATAAAACAGCTAAAATAACAAAATTAATATTAATATAAGAAATTTTATTTAAATCATTAATATGCAAAAACCAGGAATATTGGGTCGGGAGGCCAGAGAGCTGTTAACCGGTAGGAAAGCCATAGATCGCGCTTTAATATTGCGTTCAATTAGAGATCGTTTAGAAGTCGAAAGTTTATTAATTTTCTTATTTTTATTTGCACTGTTGTCTTGAGATTGTGTATCACTTGAAGGTCCACCCAATTCGCTATTGGGCTCATTTTCAACCAATTCAACAACATTTTGGGAACCCTTTCGGTTATCAAAAAATTGTTTTGTTTAATAAATTAATTGATAGAGTATTATAATAAACAACAATATTAGCAATTAAATTATCATTAATATTCAAATATAAACATTGAAACAATTTTTWWWAAAAATTATCTATCATTAATTCATAAATCCATTGATTGCTATCTATTACATAAAAACAATAATTGTTTCATATCATTTATCATATAATCATTTAACGATACTAATATTTTTTGAATCTAATATTTATCATATTAATATATTACTGGTAATTGTTTTTTTTAAAATAATATGATAATAATATTATTAATAATTAAAACATTTTAGTTGATATATCAATAAAAAAAAATGTATTATAAATGCATTTACTTTTAAGTGTTGTATGTCTTCGTCATTAGTTTGCAGATCTGGTAATTCCCAATACGATTCGTGTCCATTCTCTTCAAAGAAATACAATCTTCCATTTTCATCGAGTTTACAAAACCACTAAATAAATAAAATATTTTAAACCAATTATTTTAATACATTTAAAAAAAAAAAATTTTAAACAAGTATTTGAAAACATTATTATATAATAAATGCCACAATAAGTCATATATTTTAATATACTCTATGTATTAAACCTTTTCAATCTCTTCCCAAGTAAACAGTTCTCCCGATTCACAGAAAAGTGGTGACACAGGACTATCGGTAAGACTATCACTATATGAATCTCTTTTATCAATTTCAGAGCCCATTGTTTTAGCAATTAATTCAGATTTAATAATAACAATAATAACATAAATTTAATTGAAACGATTATATAAAAAGGATATGAAAAGTTAGGAAAAGGATGACAGGATAGGCAGTCAATTGTATATTAATTATATAAATTGTAAAAATATCGTCATTTCCTAATCATTTTAAATACCTTTTCATTGGTTTTATTATTTATAAAATATAGTTCTTTCGTCTCGTCGTTAAGCTTTCGAGTCCAGCCTTTGGGAAGAGTTGGAAGAGCTGTTACTGAAGAGTCAATAGTTTTGGGATCTTCGCTATTATTAAAATTAGCTGTACTTTCGTTTATACTGTGATTATTAGTTTTAATTAATTTTTTCCATAATCTAGTCTTTGGTTTGGGCACTAATGGTGAATATGTGGACGAATCAGACATAAGGCTAGTGTTTGGTGTTGTGGACAGTGAAGTGGTCGAGGAATCAGTTAAATTCTCTTCCGAATGACTGGTCATGAGGTCGTCATCGCGCGAGTATTGAAGTGGTTTACGTCGCGGCGGTTTCCAAGAAGTCATTCGACTCATGGAATTATAATAAAATTTGCGACCACTTGTATCTTCATATTCTGCCCAATGATTTAGTAATATCCTAATGGGAGACACCTTCGAGTTGGGAATGGGTGGCAATGATCGTGTCGACCGACTCTTTGAATTGATCGGTAAGTTTGCGTATACAATACCATCTGAAGGATTAATTTTGATTTTATTTATAGTTTTATTTACAGTTTCAGTGTTATTATCACAGCTATGAATATCTTCAATAAGTGACTCTTTACTTGAATCTAATCCATTGGTATCATCCAACCGATCGTCTTCACTGTTGTCATCTGTACTGAAGCCACTGATCATTGGATTTGTAAAACTTAGTCCAACTTTAATAGTCGATATGTTCTTCTTGTGGTCACTCGATGTTGACTTAAAGTTAGAGTTAACATCAGTTTTGTTATTGTGATTGTTATTCAAACTCAAATCAATTGGTTTGATGTAACAGACGGGTGCATAAAAAGGTTGTGGTCTATGGCCATGACTGAGGTCATCGTCGGTGGGCAAACATCGTCTGCATTGCCACCAATCGGGGTTAGTCTTAGTGATAACAATCAGGTGCTCCCCCTTCTTCATTGTCACAACACTTCCGTTATGTGTTGAGTACTCGAAGTCAAACAACACGACAACCTTTTCTTCATCCGAATTGTTCATCTGTCCGATGGTTGATATGTCCATCACACCAATTGACCACTGATTTGACAYTCATCCAAACATATCAGTTGTCACTATAATTGGTCACCACTTTGTCATTGAGATCATCAACAACCCATCTGATCCATAAATATTAACAATACAGAAGATATATGTTTTGGTCGACTCAACCGTTAATTGCATTAATTGTCATCACTTGAGATACATTTGTCGATCACTTAACGGATTAATTCAATTTATATAATAATAATCACAGCATTCATAACAATAATAATAATATTAAGCAATAGTTGTGTCAAAAATAGTGATTATATTTAAAGAGATAACGGAATCATATTTCATGTCAACGTAAATATAGTTATAAACTAAACATTGAGTGTATATTAATATTACTAATGTTGTCATCACTAGAGCTCACTCTCGTAACTCATTAACAAAACCGAACCAAAACTTTTACATTCAAATAGAAAATGTTTTATTAAAACAAAACCCAAAACCTAAACACATAATACATTTAAAAACTACTGTATTATAACATATATACAGTATATAAATTTTAGTTATTATTATTATTAATATGCAAACTAATTAAAACTATTGTTAATATATATATATTGTAATTTAAAATTAATATCTAATGATTGCACATATTTTAAAATAATTAAAACTTAAATTAAAATATAAGATTCTAAACGACAAAAACAAAATAAAGTTTAGATAAAATTGAATATATTTTAAATGGTTTAATGGTTATACGGTTTGAGACCTTTAGTATAATTATTATTCAATTGATTCAACACTACTAATATTTAATGTGAGTATTGGCCCACAAAACAGTTACAGTGATTCGTAAAACTAGTGTTGTGTTAGTTATAGAGTATTGTAATGCTATTGCCTCTCATGTCTGACTCGTCTATGTTTTGCATAAATTGATTGAATCACTGACTGCTGTCAATGCACTCAAAAGCATTCACACAAAACACCTTATTATCTAAAATTACATTTCATTCAAGTTATAAACTGTGCCGTTATATCATTATATCAATACAATAATGTATTATTCATAATAACATTTGTCTAATTTTATACATTTTATAAGTTTATTTTATTATACAGTACTGTACAGTATATCTTATTAACCATTAATTACAAAGTTTTTTACATACCGTATAAACATTTGACATTAACAACACTGAAAGTTATACTGTATTTTAACATTAATACAAATTATTTTATTTAACTTATCATTTACTTTATAAAGAATTATCAAAATAATTAATGTTAAAATAATGTCAATTACACTAATCATATTAGTACCAAATACATACAATTAATTAAAAACCATTTTTTAAACAATTTATAAATAATATACTTATATAAGTAGAGTATATTAACTATTTTTTTGTAATTAATTTTCTCTAACATCTTTAAGTTATGATATGATATAATAATTTACAATTTCATGTAAACTAAAGATGAAATAGTCTCTTAAATTTCGATAATATTTCATTTACAATATTAGAAAACAATTTTCTAATTGATTTAAAATTTTAATCAATTTTTTTTTTATCATAAGTATAGCAAATCATTAGTTTAATAATTTCTGTATAAATGATTAATCAATTTAAATGTGAATCAAATTATAATCTGAAAGATTAATTCAATCACTAATATCACGACATCTCTATTATATGCAATTTTATATATGAATTTAAGACAATAACATTTACATACTTTCACATTACCGTAATTAACAATAAGTTAATTGCTAAGCAACTTATATTAATTAAAAATAATTAAATCAAATAAATTTCTATTAAATATTAAAATATGGGTCAGTAAACAAATTACCGTTAAATTGTAATTGAATTAAAAACATTTTATTTTAGGAAAATTAATTGACGGACATTAGGTGTTATAAGTAATGAGACGTAAATAAGCGATTTATTTCCAGAGTTTCTTAATCGACATATTCTTCTCGGCCTCCTTTTGCATAACCTTCGCGACGGCCATTTCGAAGTCTTCTTGAGTCACGTGAACTCGTCTTTCTCGAAGAGCATACATACCGGCCTCAGTGCAGACACCTTTGACCTCCGCACCACTGGCTCCGGGCATCATTTCAGCAATTTTACGTAGATTAATACCACGGGTTAAATTCATTTTTCTTGAATGAATCTTTAATATATCGAGCCTCGCGTCTTCGTTCGGCGGCGGAAATTCAATTTTACGGTCAATACGGCCGGGCCTTAACAGTGCCGGATCTAATATATCAATTCGGTTTGTGGCCATAATAACTTTAATGTTTTTTGTCGCCTCAAATCCGTCCAATTGGTTCAACAGCTCTAACATAGTTCTTTGAACTTCAGAATCTCCTCCAGAACTCGATTCTATACGTGAAGAACCAATTGAGTCGATCTCATCCATAAATATGATGGACGGCGCGTGTTCTCTGGCCATCACAAACAACTCGCGGACCATTCGAGATCCTTCACCAATAAATTTCTGAACCAATTCTGAACCACTCACTCGTATAAATGTACAGTCCGTGTGATGAGCCACTGCTCGGGCTAACAGTGTTTTGCCTGTTCCGGGCGGTCCGTATAAAAGCACACCTAATGCCCATTTAATTATAATTACCGGTAAGTCAAATATGAGTTGACACACATTACCGATATGTAAATACCTTTTGGTTGAGCGATACCGAGTGCTTCAAATAGTTCTGGATGTTTGACCGGCAATTCAATGACTTCTTTGATTTCTTTTATCTGTTTGTCGAGACCGCCGACCATCTCGTAAGTACTGTCGGGTACCTTCTCGACCATCATTAAGCTAACCAATGGATCCACTTTATTGGGAAGTATTTTGTGCAAAGCATATGAATCGTTACGGAGTGCGACCCGACTGTTAGGCGTAACATCTTTGATGTCAATATTCTTATCGATATCGACCACAAACTTTCCCTCGGGATGTACTTTCACCAATACTTTCTTCTTGTCCATTGGCTTAACCACTTCGCCCACATAAGAGCCCTGTTCTTGAAGTAATTGTAATTCTTCGCGAAGCATACGAACTAAAACCAATCAAATCAATGACTATCACTTCAATTGGTATTATCATTGAATGTCACAAACCTTTGGCATTCAATTCATTTCTCTGAGCCTGAAGTCGGCGTAAGTTTTGGTACTTATCGTTGACAATGAGCTGCAACTCTTCAATTTTGGTGATATAGTACTGCTTGAGACCCTCACGAGAGGTGTCTACAGGAGTGTCCAATTCCATCGATTTCATACCCATTGTTAAGAGGTTGTCATCGATGGTCAACAAATGCAATCAAATAATAATAAGTCAATTGAATGAATCAAAAGTGCGAACTCATTGACACTCAATGATTGACATTCACTACAATTCAATCCACTCTAACACACAATAGATGGCTCTCATAGACATTCAAATGATTCAAATGTTTCAAAGTTATTCAATTAATAACTATTTTATTATATAATATACAAATGTTGTACTATTTATACATAAGATTTTCACTTAGTTTTTCATAATTTATATAATTGATTATAAAATAAAAAGATTTATCTGTTTTAAAATCAAATATTTAAATTACATTTAACTAATATATTATCAATTAATATTTTTTAATTAATTAAATATTATTATAAAGTATTTATTAATTATTTGCAAATACACTGTAAAAATTCAATGTAACAAAAATCAAGATTCACCGAAAACACAGATCACAGAAAAAAAATTATTTTATCAAATAAGTTCAAATAAGTTATATCAAATCAATATATAATATCAAAAGTATTGAATATAATTATATATAAATTTAAAAATATATAATTAAAAAATATATAATTAAACTATATTACAATTATTCTAAATAGTTAAATAATATTTATTATATACATTATTTTAAAAATTACAATACAATAACATATCATATGTGTATTAAGTAAACAATATTACTGTAATATCAAAATATTAGGCGATTAACAATGAATCCTAACTTTTCAATAAACTAATCTTTAATTTGTTTATGTCTTGTAAAAAGTTTAATAAATATGATTGAAAAACGATATCAAAACCACAATATAGTCTAAAACTCAAATTAGCATTTGTTCCTATATTTTCTAGAAAATGTTTAAAGTTATCAAAATAAAAAAAACTCATACTTTAAATATAAATAACTTATACATATAATGACAATTATATTAATTTATAGTTTCAAATTGTATAAAAAAAAATTTGTTTAATCAAATGTGATTTGAAATAAACAAACGTAAAGTTTGAGTCTTATGATTGTTTAAAGTATAAATTTCTTTATTTTTACAAATGTATCCAAACTACAGAAATTTTTTAAATTTTGATTTTGATATATAAATAATATACAGATATATATACAGTACTAATATAAATTGTACAGATATTTTGATTTTTTTGCAATAAATTTCACTATTACCATTCATCATAATTTTCTAGTTTTTTTTAATTTAAAAATTAATTAATACCAAAATAATTATAAACTAATTAAAAGATATTATTTAATAAAAAAAGATTTTAAAAATTAGTAAAATTGAAATTAAGTAAAAAGATTATCTAACAGTTTATCATGATTTTAGTTTTTAAAAATATTCATTAGATTTTAGTAGTAAATTATTTCACTTTTTATTAATATCTTTCATCAATAGTTTTTAATTATTAATATAATAATTTACAGTATTTTAATAAATTTAAACAATTTAATAACTAAAATCATTGTTAATGACATTTAAGACAACAATTATGTGAAGTAATTAATATACTGTTCATAAAAAACATAATACTATTAATATTAAAGTAAATTTACTGTAAATATGCCAAAAACAATAGGAATGACAGCTTTTAGGTCAAAAACTTTAATTCATATTAAATATATTTGATTGACAGATACTGTAGTATACAATGTATAGTTACAATACAGCCATAGTTTTATTACTAAATAGCTTTTTTAATTATTTTATTGATTGAAGTCTCTAATTGAATAGTTTTTCAGTAAACTATTCAATTGATGTTTTTGGCAGAAAATTCAATATATGTTAACCGGTTGTCTACAACATTGAAGAGGCCATCGATCGATGTTTTATAGTAATAGTGGGCGCAAAGGTTGTTCAAAATTTTTGATAAATTACCACTAAATATGGTTTACTGACTTGTTTTCAATTACTATTTCATATTCAAAATATCTAAAATATTAGTTTGTTTTAGTTCAATGACATCTAAATCAAAAATCTTTTTTATTTGTCAATACATATATAAACATAAAACATAAATAAATTTATATGTAAATGTTTTAAAATTTAAAAATATTAATATATTTCAATATTTTATACAATATAGTATATTGAATATACTATATATCGTAATTAAAGATAATTTATTATCAACTATTGACATGTGCTACTGATTAGAGTTGTTTTGAATAAGTTTTGATAAAAAATAAAAACAAAGATGATATTGTTATTTTAGATACACATAAATCATTTTTCAGCAATCAATGATACATTTCCTGTAATTTAAGACATTTGCATTTGTTTTTGCATAAAAAAGTTTTAATATTTGTTAAACAAGATTCAAGTGTTTCATTATATGGTAATTAATCTAAACTATAGCATAAAAATGTTTAGTATTTATGAAATCAAAGAGTAATACATTATATATACAGTATTTATACAGTAGTTTATCTTAAAACCAATAAATTATTATAACTGCAAATGATTTATAATTATTAATGTCTTTCTGGTTTGAAATTTATTATAATTAAAAATATTTTTGATTATTATAAATAAATTATTTTTAACAATAATTTTTAACATATACTTAGTGATCACTTTTTTGTTGCGAAATATTAATTATATATTCTATAAAAATGTTTATAAATATCTAAGAAATTTGGATAAAAAATATATGAATCAATGAATTCATTATAATATTAAAATCGTTTTTCATGTTAAATATGTTTTATATAGTTATGCGTTGAGTGAAACAGTGATATTAAAGTTTATGTGATTTTCGCGTAAATGAGTTCACAATAATATTGGTTTGAGAGGAAAGGCTTGTTTGGAAAGTTAGACATATAATGTAGTTGTGCTGTAATTATTAGTAGACAAACGTTATGTACCGCTATATACATGTATAATATTGTATGTAAATTATTAGTTATAATAATAAAGGTTTTCCTCAAACAACACACAAATTGCTTGAGTTTTTGGACCAAAACTTTTTGGTTGCCTTAATGTATGCTTAAGTCATGTGATGGCAGTCCTATTGGTAATCAATTTGTATTAAAAACAACACATAAATTGTGTGATTATAATACAAGCTATACATTGAAAGTGTGATCAACTTTTTCCACAACAAACTCATTCATCGCTTAATTATTCATTTAATTTGATTGCAGTCATTGTAATCACAATATAATTGTATTACAAATTAATTTTATTTGACTTTTCAAGTGATGTCACAAATAAATTATAGTTTTTTTAGCTTAAATTTTTATATAAAATATTATCAAAATAAATATTACAAACAATTGTAATATCTTATTACAAGACAATCAAGAAATAGTATTTTATTTATTAAATGGCATAACAAGTGATTTAAAGAAGTATGCATTCGTTGGCCATCACAAAGAAGAAGTGGTTCCTAATGGGAGTCATCACAGGAGTCATACTATCGCTATTTGTGATGCCATTCATTGAAGATTGTCATCAACTAAATGTGGAACCGTTAAGTAATGACAACATTGCCAGTCATAACTGGTATGAGATGGTAGTCAACAGTGATTTCAGACCAGTTGTTCATTTGATACCAAACCAAAGTCGCCCATTGATTGATAGCAATCATATAAGTAGTCCAAAAGTTTTTCGCCATAAATATTATGCAACAGAACTTAATATAAAAGAAAAACTGTTGATTTGTGTCCAATTGTCTGGTGATAACCGCAATGCCTTCAACTCATATCTATTAAATGAAACGATTAGACAATTGGCTGACAAAGTGATGGTCTTCGACACAAACTCGAGGACAACAGTGACTCCGAAAGACATTGATTTCGGCGATTCTATAATACAATTATATACTGAATCAACTGAAGTGCCACTTATAAGACATAAAGCAAAGTATTTAAATATATTGAACTATTTATTTAAGATACAAATTGTCAATAATTTTGATTTTATATTTATTATAAGCGATAAAACATTTGTAAATCAAAATAATTTATATGACTTTTTAAACAAATTATCTGTCAGTCAAAACATATTTGCCTCACCAGTCATTACAAGACATGATTCACAGTCTTATACTAATCATATCATTGAATCCGGTGTTATATTTAGTACATCTCTACTATTGAAATGTAATTTAAATGATAATTGTTTGAATCAATTTAGGAATAAATATTTTAATTCATATCAACTTAATGACGATTCTAGTGATGACCAACTGATCCCAAATTTACTCAACTTTACCATTATTTACTCATCTGTGACCATATATCCAGTCATTTCAATGGATACTTACTATAGATTGCAACTAATTTTGTGCCAAAAATCAATTAATAAGACGACCGAAAAACTTGAATCAATTGAAAGGCAAATAATTACCTCAAATGATAATCGATCCGTTGAATGGCCAGTAGGTGTAGTGATGGCTCTTAAGCCGACCAATAGGTTTGATGTGAATCGTTGGTTGTATTTCAATGAATCTCATTCACTAATGCCTAATGACTTTGATATTAGTCTACCATTAAATGCCATCGAAAGTCTTGAAATGTCACAAATTAAGTTACATTGCATTGAATGGATTGAAAATAAATATAATATACTTATGAATGAAGATAATTATCAAATTATAAATATATATAAGAAATTTGATGCAATTCGTGGCACTGAATATTTAGTGGATTTTAGTTTAACTGCTTTTCCTAACATTAAAAGACTACAAATAATCAAACCGTTTAATAAAATTGAATTAATATCAGACGTGCCTTACGTTACGGAAAGTGTTAGAATTGTTTTGATTTTAGTCGTCAAAAGTCGTGAAGAAATTGATCTGACATTAGATTTCTTGAATCAATACTCTAATACATGTCTGAAGAAGTCGAGTCATCGGACAGTACTTATTATAGTATTAATGTATAGAAATGATTATACAATCGATGATTATTTGCAAATCAAAGGTGAAGCGCAACAATTGCAATATAAATACAACAATTTTGGCGCAAAGATTGTATCGATTCCTATAAGAAGTGCCAAAGTTGATAGAGTTGCCACAGAAATAGCTTATTTGGATCTAATTGTCAAAAAATTGACTCAAACTTTTATGGAGGCACTGGTAGTTCATTGCCGACCAAATATGATACTAAGTCTGGATTACTTGAATCGCATCCGACTAAATACCATTCAATCAAATCAAGTGTTTTTTCCGATACCTTTTGTTGAATATCGTCTTAGAAGTCAAGTAAAACCACTTAAGAATTTTGACGTTCGCAAAGATAAAGGATTCTTTGAGACAACAAATTACAATCATTTTTCATTTTATTTATCTGATTATATAAAAGCTCGCAAATTATCTCAAAGATTACTACCAATTGTGAGAAATGAACAGTTCCTCAAACGAGACATCTATTACTCATCAGATATCGATGTCTTCAACTTATTTGTTAATTATAACAAACAATTTGATAAAAATACAAATGATTTTATAAATAGTTTATTTATAATGAGAGCGATTGAACCAGAATTGAGATTAAAACACAAGAGCTATACTCACGATTGTCTCTATTATGAGAGCAATACAAATGCCATTGAAAACTGTGTGAATCGTAGTGTCATAGGATTGGGGACCAAATCGCAGTTAGCAGCTCTTGTTATCGATGACAACAAGAAAGAGGCACAAGAAGTCAATGATAATGACGATAATATCAACATTTTTAGATGATATCTTAATTAAAATTCTTTATAAATATTAAAAATTGTTATAAAAATACAATATAATTTATAAACAAATTTTCTATATATTATTAAAATGATAAATAACTTGTTATGACTTTTTTTTTAATTATAAAATAAAACATTTGCAACAAAATAATTTACAATGAAATAAAATAATGATTAAAAATTTAAATGATATCACATGAGGACATCAACTTTATTTGCCACTCTTTTGCAACCAGTTTTAGAGTACAGTCTAGTATCGGGTGGAAAGTATTCCAACTCATTGGACACCTTTGATAATAATCTTTAATTTAAAATACAATTCAAAAAATTAAAAAATAAGATATAAAGTACTTGTCTAATAAACTCTTCTCCCGGTTCTTTTAATGGATCAGATTTGTTGTAATGATATTTCAGATGGTCTTGAATACACATTTTTATGTGTTTCTTCTCTAAAGGAAGAAATGGTACGAAAGCGTCGATCAGATTCTTCTCGACGATATCACTCTTATAGAGTCCTCCGTCTTCATTGAAAGCACCGGAATTCATCAGTGGTTCCAAGTCTTTGATAGTTAGATCTGTACGTTCTTTGCCCAACAAATGAAAATCGTAGGCAGTCTTTGTTATACCGGTTCCACCGGTGTTACTGTCAATACATTTCTGTTATTTAGAGAAATATTTTTTATTATAGATATAAAAGCAAACCTCAAAAATATAAAAATAGCTTTTCGGTAGTCAATAGAATCGGCAAATTGATTGTAATCAATGAATGGTTTGATGGCATCGATAACTCCGGGAACTAATTTGTCGATTTCATCAAATATGAACAGAGATCGCGGACATTGTTTTACAGCATTTGTTACATTATCTTTAATCCATTGTCTCATCAGATGTTTATCATTAGTATTAAAGTTAGTAAAACTCAATCGATGGACAAAATTACTTTTATCCGATTTGCGAAACTTTAAGTAAATATTTTTGGCCACAATCTCAGACATGAATGTCTTTCCGCCGCCGGTCCAGCCGTGAAATGACAAAACCAAAGGTTTATTAGGATTGTTATTCTTCAAGTGTTTGGGAATCAATTTAGTGATAATATTTTTGGCTAAATGTTGTCCATAAACTTGTGTATTAATACTTTGGTCCAATTGCTTTACTTCGTAGTCAATCCACGGTTCCCGATGTGGCCAATGACTGGATGCGTCGTAAACAAAGCGTTTGACTTCATTTGGCGGATGACAGCACTCGGCGGTCGAGCACTTGAGGTAATCCCAGGCCGAGTATATGGCACCCAAACCCACGGCACCCAACACTCCAACTAAAGATGATGTCAACGGTTCCACACTTAACACAACCGACCAGTTTGTGGCCAAACATAGTATAAGCAGTTTATTATACAAACTCATGGTTTCAATCACTCATTAATTATTAATCAAATCATTTAATTAATCGCTTATCAAATGTCTTATCATTTCATTTGAAATCAATTCATATTATAGTAAATGTATTAATAATTTAATATTCAAAACATTTGCAGTGTTTTTCACAGATATAACGTCTAATATATTGTATTTTATAGATTCTCTAATAATAAAAATAATATTATTATGAATTTACAGAATATTTTTATTATTGAAATTTTCAATAAATTTGTAAAATTACTTAAATTTTATTAATTAGCACTTCTTTGTCAATAAATAATACTAAACAAAACTAAGATAAAACCCTTTTTTATAGATTCAACTTAATTTATACCATAAAATACATGTCTATTATAGATACGGAATAATTGTTAATTTGAAAATTATAAGTCAAATAAAAGTTGGTTTTAAAAAATATTAAACTATTTGAATATAACTTTTGTATATCATATTAAATAATTTATAGAAAAGATTAACTAATTCAATACAAATCCATGTATTTATTTGTATATTTATTTTGATTGTTAAATTTTAGGCTTAATAATAAATGTAATTTCACATAACTAATACAGTATTGCAATTTGCAAATAAATGTAAGATTATTTTTAAATAAATATAAAAATTATTGTAAACATATATTTAAATTATAGCTGAAAATTTAATATAAATAAACAGTAATACTTAACTACAGTAATTGGTGTTATAAATGTTGAAATATAAATACTTATTAATGTAATACTGTATATAATATATACAGTAATTACTTATTAATAGGCTATCCATTTAAAGGTGCTAAAAAATAGTTTTAATTCTCTATAAAAATTAGTAAATTTTTTTCAAATATTACTTAAAATTACTTAAAAGCTAGTTTCAAGCAATTTTTAGTAATAACATTTTTAAACATTTTTTCTGCATTATAATTTTTTGATCTAATATTTTATCAAATTGTAATTTGTTTTTAATTTAAATTTATAAAAATGAAATTTGTTTTATTTAAAAATTATTTATAATATAGAAAAGACAACGTTTATTGTCAGAATTTGTAAGAAAAAATAATTTGTTTTATGAAAAATCATATAAACGTTAAATGTTTTGTAGTCTATATTAGTCTAAACTTTTTGTCCTGTAATCCACGTTGAATCTCCGTCACACAGGACAGGACAGGACAGGACAGGACAGGACAGGACAGGACAGGACAGGACAGGACAGGACAGGACAGGACAGGACAGGACAGGACAGGACAGGACAGGACAGGACAGGACAGGACAGGACAGGACAGGACAGGACAGGACAGGACAGGACAGGACAGGACAGGACAGGACAGGACAGGACAGGACAGGACAGGACAGGACAGGACAGGACAGGACAGGACAGGACAGGACAGGACAGGACAGGACAGGACAGGACAGGACAGGACAGGACAGGACAGGACAGGACAGGACAGGACAGGACAGGACAGGACAGGACAGGACAGGACAGGACAGGACAGGACAGGACAGGACAGGACAGGACAGGACAGGACAGGACAGGACAGGACAGGACAGGACAGGACAGGACAGGACAGGACAGGACAGGACAGGACAGGACAGGACATTTTACAGTGTTGTCCTGTAAACCCTGTCATACAATGCTATACATACGCTATTAACATAAAATAACACTAAAAGCATTTGTTATGCAGAAAAGTGATTATTCAAAATTAAAATTATATTTTAAAGAATCTATGAGTTGCTTAAAGTCTAGTGCTATATATATATATATACTCTATTTATCACATGTTTGTAATTGTAAAGACATTTGACATTACAGAGTAATGACAGTCAGGGTTCGGAAATTAGAAAAAAACGTTTAGTTTATAAGTCTATATTTCTCTGAACAATGATTTATTTCTTTTTATTTTTATATAATATAATTTCTTTACTAATTATATATATATTTATCACTAAAATTGTTTAAATTAAAGAATTTTAATCAAAAAATAATAACAACTTAAAAAGTTATTTATATAATAGGCTTTTCACAAAGTCTTTTCGTATGGTGTCTAAAAAATTAAAAGCTAAATTTTTCATTTAATATTATTTAATTGCATTCAATATAACCCTATTGTTGAGCAACATTTAAACATTTGTCATGTAATTTTAAAGAACAGCTTTTATTCTGTAAGTGAAAAAAGAGATCGATGTCTTGTACGATATCCTTATTCCTCTCAAGTTTTAGCCATTAAGAATGTCTCCAAAAATCAAAACAATATATATATACTCAATATCGGGAGAATAAGGTGTATTATCAAGCATTTTTACCAATAGCACAATAACTTTTTTAAGTCAATATTAATATTTCAAGTTACCTGTAATTAGCTAATTAGTTAGGTGTAAAATAATGAAGAATAAAAAACTCAAATTTTAAAAATATAACCGATCTATTTAAGATTATCATATATGATGGTCACTTTTACCAATAACTTATAAAGCAATTGATAAAATAATTTTGTGGATCTCGTTGTCAACAAAACGTCATAGTCCACAACTCATTGTTGTAAACTTCTTTGATTGTCTGCAATTGTTCTGTTTATTAAAAATATAATTATTTTTGTATTTGTCTATCATAAATTAATGTATTATATATATATATTTGATAACGTTTAACAGAAATTGACAAACTCGAAATGTGTTTAACATTTTTAAAACTATTTAACAAATTTTTCAATTTTTGCAGCCAAAAAATTAAAGTCACAAATTAAAGATAAACATCTTATCTCATAATTAAAAGAGTAAAATCAATGATACCGTTAAAAGTTTTTACAGTAATATATATATAATGCGAAAAGATGAAAAGTATATATAAAATGTATAATTGTATATATTTAATATGAGCTTATTCTCCTATTTGGGTAAAAATAGTTAAATAACTTGAAATGAATACTTTACTTACTTATTAATATAACTTTCTAATACTTATTCGTTTATAATGTTCTTATTTTTTATCAATAATTATTTATTATATTATAAATAAACATTCAAATTCATGAAACTTAAAATTTTAATTTTAATACAAATATTGCAATTAAATAGAGATAAATACTTTAGATTATAAACAATGCTAAATATGCTAAATACTAAAAACATTTTTATATTAATTTTCTTATTAGAGATTGGAAATAGATTATTAAATTTCTAATAAATTTCTTTAACATGAATTATATAATGGTTTAGTTAGAGGAATCAAATTTAATTATAAAATTTTAGTAATGATTACAATTTGCTCTATTTGTTTGTTTTCTATCATTTGCTTACAAATTGTAATCATTACTATAATTTCTCAAAAATAAATTTTGCTTTATATGTCATATAATTTAGATTAATTGTAATACTCTATTATTAAAATAATTATACAAATATATAATTTATATATTAAACAATTAACTAAAGGTATTTTTATTATAATTATAATTTTTGTAAGATTTGACATATTTATATGTATATTTAATTGAATTTGATGAGTAAAAAAAATGTAAATGTGATAAAAATATATGATGAATTGTAGTAATTTTCAATGTGATTGATAATGATTAAAATATTAATACAATAATAATAATTGTGTTATAAGTTTATTATTATTAATAATAATGTATTACAAGATAACAAATAAAGAGAAAAATACTAATATATTGATCTATAAACAGAAATTCTTTTATAAATAATAATTATTAATAACATTAGAGATAACTTACTTAACCTAAACATAACATATTATAATTTAAAATAAACTTAAAATATAAATAAAATTATATTGTTTAAAATTATTATTATTATAGATCTACAAAACTTTGATTTACTATAAGTTAAATTAACTACATGTTATATTCACTCAAAATACCATATTTAATATTATTTTCTTATTATTTTCTATATAAATAATTATAATTATATTTTATAAATTAAAACAATATATTTATTTTACATGATTTTACTAAATTTATTATTAAAGCAAAAAGTATTTATAAAATTAAAATTGAAATATTAAAAGTAAATTAAACATAATTTAAGTATAGTTATAGTGTATTAATGATATTTAGATTTGTCTGAAATGTTTAATATAAGTAACAAATAATTATTAGTAAAAATAGTATAATTAAGTCCTAAGTCGGCCGTTGGCGGGACAGTACTCGGCGTACTCTTCCCACGAACAGCCGTCTGATCCGTTACAGCACTCATCGATTATTCCTCTTTTATTAAGTCTTCTATTATTGGATTTCTTATACCKTAAGATCCCAAACATATTTGTCGCCTCTTTTGCTGATAAAAACGGTTCATTTGTGAACGTTTCCACTAAATAACAGTTTTATTATTATTATTATCAATAATACTTGTTTGATATTAATAATAAAAATATTAAATAAACTCAAACCTTCAATAAGATCTCGTTTTCGGCGAAGTTTATAAATATCTTTATCGCAAACCCACTCCATGTGGTTAATGAGGTCCTGATAGCATCTCTTGTGTTTTTCTGAGTGCCACAACTGTCTCCAGTCGTCATCACTTCTTAAACTAAATATCTTATTCAAGTCGGATGTGTCACTCAAATCAGTGTTACCGTCGACACTGTTTTTTATATATAATGATAATAATAACACATATGAAACAGATATAAATATTTTATTATTAAAATTTTGTTGCATTTCTAATCTACAATAATTAGAGTTTAATAATTTTATTTAACAAATTCTATCAATGAAATTAATATTACAATAATTCACTAGAATTTTAGTTTAATTAGATTATTATTTTTATAAAAAATATTATTAATACTAATATTATTAAAATATTAAACAAAAGTTTACGAAAAAAATAAAACAAATGTTAACTATTATTAATAATTAAATTAATAATATTGTATTATTTATTAAATAAAGTAATATTATAACGAATAAGAGATGTTTAATAATATGTATTCATTGAAATTATTGACATAAATGCTATGTATTGATGAATCAAATGATTGTGTGGTTTGAATGACGCAAAGTTAAGCTAAATGACCACAATTTAGTCCAACAATACTTCTTATATAATGATTATTAATAATTTAATACATGTATATACTGTAGGTATATAAATATATTTTATGTATATATATCTATATCTATATATATATATATATATATATTAAATGTAAGGTATGTATATATACACAACTGTTTGTGAGGGATTAGGCTTTTATGAAAAGCAACAACAATTGACTTACAATTTATTGCTTACATTAAGAGTTGCTTCAAATAGCAATACTAACATATCTTACAATTTATTGCTTCAATTATTATTAAACAAAATAATAACTAAAATTACTACAAAAGTTATTGAAGAAGTCAATGAAAGGATGCGTTACTAATGTTTTGATATTAAATTTATTCATTTATTTATTTAAAAGTTATTAGTTATTAGTTTGTTATTTACCTATATTTACAAATAACTTTGTTTTTAATTCTTAATAAATAATATATTTATTAAAATGTTAATAAACTAAAATAAGATCAAACGGTTTATATTATATTATTATTATTTTATAGAAAGTAATTATTATTATTCTACAGTTATTTATATGTCAATAATTTTTGATAAAATTGGCAAAAATGGTGGAATCAGCCATTTATTTCAATGAAGAAGTATTTTTACAAAACACATAAAATTAATACTTAAAAAATTATTGCATCTTTATAGTAATTACTAGTGAGATATATACTGTAGTAAAGTATATTTTTTATCGATTTTTAATAACGTTTGATAATCAATTTTTCAAGTATTATAAATACAAATTAGTAAATTTTACAAATAAATATAATTTATTATATTATCAAAAATTGTTATTCATTATATTATTAACTTTTTACATTTTAGTATTTATAATATTTAGTCTTTATATTAATATCAGACCCGCATTAGATTCCCGACCCATGATTTATTTGAATATCTAGTAAACCATATTTTACATATAAAAATGACAAATAATGGCAATCTTATGACAATTTTTATATAATTTTCTATTTAATTATTTTTTATTACTGCGATTAAAAAAAGGTGCACTTATCTGGTCAATCATACAATTAAATAAAATATGACCAATGAATGTAAAGTATATATTCATTATAGTATTGTCTATAATATTGCCATTATTTGTCATTTTAATATATAAAATATAGTTTACTAGATATTCAAAATAATTAATTAGTCGATAGTCTGTTACGGCAATGATTTTAAGATATTGCTTACTATTTATACAAATATACACCATTGGATAACAACTGCACAAAATGTTTGAGTGTTTATATATTGTAAATGGTATTATAAAATTTCACCAAATTTGTTTATCATAATAAATATATCCTCAAAAATTTGTGATAAAATTAAAAAAAAATTATTTCTAATATATTTTATATTATTAAAAATTAATGAAATATTACATTTTCAAAGCATTTACATTGACTTAGTATTAGAATTGATGTGTTGACCAAATTAACACTCGAGTAGAGTCCATTGTATTCGGCGTTAATTCAACTTAAATCATGTTTGAATCAATGGAGTCCACTTTAGTGTCCATTTGGTTAACATATGAGTTAGGAATTGTATTTTTATTGTAATATTTATTTAATTTGTTTAAAATTTGTTTAAAATTTGTTTAAAATTTTATCACAAATTTTCGATAATATACTCTTTATTATTAAGAAATTTAGTCAAATTTTTTTTAATATCATTGTCGATATAAAAACTTTCAGACTCTATGATAGTTGTTGTGTCTATGATTAAACTTTTGTTGTTTTTCAAAATAATAAATAATAAATACTACAGTATTATACTACAGGTATTGTATTATTGTGATTGAATGTTACAAATTGTAAATTACAATATTATTAGTCAATTAATTTATATAAATTAATATAAGCTAAAGATTTTAAGATATCTTGAATGAAATCTATGATAATGTAGTTCTTATTTATTATCAATTTATTAGCAAAGTATTAATAACAGTGAGTATAGTAAAGATATTTTCTTTTTAATAATTTGTTTAATATAGAAAACATTTAAATATATAGAAAAAAAACTATTTTTACTATTTCTAAAAAATTTATCTAATGGTTAAGTAATTTTATTATTTATTTCTTATTTATTTATTATAATTTATTATTTCTTTCATTGTAATTTTTTATAACAATTTAGATATAATTTGCTAATTATAAAATTAAAGAATTGACAATAATTCAAATGTTAAATTCAATTACCGATTGTAGTCTTACTAACTAACCATTTGTGTTGGAAAGTTGTAAAGTGTTTAAAACATTTATAACTACAGAAGATAATGTTGCTATAATTGTTGTCTAAAAATATGGTTAAATTAAACTATAAATATTGAATTGAATTGGAAAATCGTTTATAAAAAACAATTTATAATACAATCATCTAATTTGGATTAAATCTATATTCTGTAGCTTATAATAAACGCATAAAAAACATTTATATTTGCAAATTATATTATATTTTGTAATACTGTAGAATTAATTTACTTTTACATTAATAGTATATAAAAAAAGTATTGTTTAAAAGTAATTTTCAACTATTTACACATTTAACGTTTATTACAAATAATATTAATTAATAATATAGAAGTCAAAAAATGTGTTTTACATATTTGTTTGAATATAAATGAGAAATAATTTTACATTTGAAAATTAGTTCTCACTTACCGGTATATAAAAAAAATACTATCAATACTGGAGTGGATTCGCAAACAGATCGCATAGTGTTCGCAGAGTAAATGTAACGTAAGTGCGTTCACAAAAACATCGCTAAGCGTAAACTTACGTTACGTTTACGCAAGAGTTGCGAACAAAATATAAGTCGTACGTACATACATACGACTTATTATTTTGCAAAATAAATAAAATCGTACGTATTTTATGTATTTTTACGACATGTATTTACTTGTCGCAAAATAAAATAAATTACAATAAATGCAGACATTTCACCGAATATTTCACTTTCAAAACCGAATATATTTTTTTATTAAATTTATTACAAAATTATAATATTTTTTAATTATATATGTCTTGGCTAATAATTGTGGCCGAAAATGGCGAGCCTGTCCCAAAGAAGATAATCTTCAAGGATAGACTCAATCCATTGGAAACGCTGAGCGATGAAGAATGTATACAGCGTTTCCGAATGGACCGCACAACAATAGTTGACTTATGTCAACTATTGTATGAAGATTTAGTGCGGCCCACAAGAAGACACGGAGCGCTGCCAGTGATTACACAAATATGTGCAGCGCTCCGTACCTATGCCCAGGCGGCTTTTTATCGTGTGACAGGTGATAGTGTAGGCATGAGTAATGCTGCACTATCAGAAACTGTCCACACGGTAGCCGCTGGGCTTAGCCGGCGTGCGGGAAATTTTATTAAATTCCCGCAAACACCGGCTGAAATAGCCAAAACCAAAAATGGATTTATGGCTATCGGGCGATTTCCCAATATGTTGGGTGCAATTGATTGCACCCACATAGAGATACTTTCGCCCGCAAAAGAGATCGAAGCCTCCTACGTTAACCGTAAAGGATGGCATTCGATCAATGTTCAAGCGGTTGCAAATGCAACGCTTGAATTTACTAATGTCTTGGCAGCGTTTCCAGGCAGAGTTCATGATTCATTTATATGGACTCAATGCCATTTGAAACGCCGCCTAGACAATAGCCATATTAATGGATGGCTATTAGGGGACGCGGGCTATCCCCTAGAGCCGCATCTCTTAACGCCGTACGGTAATCCTATTACCGAACAGCAAAAGAGATATAATTCGGCTCATTCAAAAACCCGTAATACCATCGAAAGGGCATTCGGGGTATTGAAAATGAGATACCGCTGTCTAGACAAGACAGRCGGTAAACTCATGTATAGACCCGAACGGGCTTGTCGGGTCATAATGGCATGTTGTGTGTTACACAACATTTGTGTTGGCAAACGCTTCTTCGGGGAAAATATTGAATTTGATTTTGAACCCGAAGAAGCAGATTATATTAACCAACCAATAGATTTAAGAGCGCAAGAAATCCGCGCACAGTTATTAATAAATAATTTTAATTAAATATAACTAATTATATAAAATTATTATTTTGTATTTATATTAATAAATTTTTTTTAATTAATTTTTGTATTTATTTATTTTAATTTCAATAAAATATTTTTTAAAACTAATATTTGTATTTATTTATTTTTAATTTTAATAAAATATATTTTTAAAATAAATATTTGTATTTATTTATTTATTTTGTATTGTAAAGATCATTAAATGACTTAATATCTTCATTTATATCGAAGTTTTGCGCCGCCAAAACGCGAAGATTAGCGCTTAACTTTATGCGTTTTAAGGCCACCATTTCACGAGCAATGGCCACTTTTTCACGCTCGATTTCAAGTACCGATTCTGCGTGAGCGGATGTAACGCGATCTTCATTTACTTGATGTTTGCGTTTTTTGAAATTTTTAAATATTTCAAATTCACTATCAGTTTTCTCTTTGTTTTCTGATAGTATATTATGTGATTGGTCATCACGTATTTTTGTGGTTCGATTTGACGAATAATTTGTCGCAATTGTTGAAGTGTTGTCAATAATAGTGATATCTGAAATAGTTTCAGTATCACCATCTTCAATAATGCCATTAATTGTTTGAGGATTCATTGTTGATAACAATGATTCCTCCAATGGCATTAATTGAGGGGCATTGTTTGGTCCGCCGCCAGTCATTTGCCGCTCCAAACGATGTTTTGATGCTTTGGCGCGGACTTTAGTTTTTTGGTCGATCAACTGTTTTTTTACTTGTCCAGTTGACCTTCCTCCAAGACTGGCGGCATTGACTTCAGCCGTAATTTCAGCCCAAGCTTTGGCTTTTTTATCGGCCGTTAATGTCGGCCCAAACTGTAAATAAACAATAGTTTAGTGATTTGTGTTAATAATTGTTTGAATTGTCAACAAAATGATGAAATCAGCGAAAAGTTGAGACAATTTAAGTGTCAAATGAAGACATTTAGACTTACCTTTCCATCAATTATTAGTTGCCGACTTTTGTAGCCATTTATTAAAGCGGCCAATTCATCGCTGTTCCAATTGCGAGCACGTGTTTTAAGTTCGGGTGAAGTCATAATTAAATTTTTAAAGTAAACGTTTCTATAGAAACAACACTTATGCTAACAATGTGCATAAAAACTTTTTGTAAATCCATTTAAGTTACACATATATACTATGCGTAAACGTAGTGTAAGATATACATTTACGTATACCTCTACAGTGAACCCACCCCTGTATAATATACAGTGTATATCAATAATAACAATATATAGCTGTAACATTTTGACATCTATAGTTATTAGTGTAAATTAAATACTTGTATATTGAAGTTATTTATCTAAATAAAAATGAGAATCAAAAAATATATATTAATTAAAATAAACCAAATTTTTAGACTACAATTACAGTATAGCAACATTATCTTCTGTAGTTATAATGTTTGAATCTATAAACATATTTTATATATTGATATAAATTATAATGTATAAAAAACTAGAATATTAACTACCGTACCGTAATCTTATTGAAATAATTTATTAAACTTCAATTGGTTTAAAAGCTATGAAATCAATTATTACTATACCTTGGTTATACATTAGTTTTTATTTATTTATTTATTTATATTTATTAATTAAAAAATAAAATATAAAATAAGTAAAACTGAGTTATATATAAAAAATTACAAATAATTTCATTAAAATATTAACAATTTATGCTATTTGTGCCAATAATAGTAACAACAGATGAAGTCAAACGACTAATGAGAGCAAATCGTTGCTCTTCTTTAATAGTATTCTTCCATTTCATTTGAAACAATTCTGTGGCAATTGAATCCATATCAACTGATTTTGCAATTTTATTTAAGTTTATATTCTCGTTGTTTATTGCCTTCAATATGATTATAGCATTAATGAATCGCGAGTTCTTGTGATCAGTGAACTGATGCAATGACATTAAGTCTTGACCAGCTATTGACTCAACATTATCGACAATAATGACATGTTTGCCATCGACACCGAAATTCCTCTCAAACTTACTGACAATATCTTGTGAATCAGTTTGTTTGCCATTAATTCGAAAACAGTTGTCTTCATTGTAAGTCTTGTAAAGAATGGCTACAAAACTATTTTCTAAACAATTTAAGACATTTGTATTGTCTTCGGAAGCTATTAGCAGAATGACTGCCGGCTCGACAGTTGTTCTGTTCATTACATTCTTTATCGATGAATTCAATACTTTAAAACCAATTTCTGGCAAAACTTCAGAATACTTTTGATGAAAATTTTTGAATTCTTCACTAAATAACTGCCACTTAGTTATGGTTTTATTGGATTGTTTGTCAAACAAACTAAAACCATTAAAATAATAATAACCAGAAAATCCAGACAATAGTACCAACAAAAACATAAACAAATGAATAAAGCAATTGCTTTGACTCTTGGATTTACTCGTCTTATATGATGTCAAATATGACTTTTGTTTACTTCTTGTATTTGACTCAACATTTCGTATTTTTTCACTTAAACCGGAATAATATGATGTAGTATTTTGTGGCTTTTTTGGTAATTTGATTGCTTCTTCATCATCGTCTTCCTCTTCTACTTGTCCTTCTTGTACACCATTTTCTCGATTATCATTCACTTCATAATCATCAAGCATTTGGTTATCATCGATACCGTTGTCGACCATATCTTCAAATGTATTGTCAATCACATCGGTGTTTGACTTTCGATGTTTCAAATCATTATATGAGATGTTAACGGATGGATAAATATTACCACTTCTTAGTTGTCGAGCACTCATAGCATCAATTGATGACAACAACGACAACACAACACAAATCAATGTCTTTTTGATAATAAGTTTATCAAATCATACGATAAAACAGTTATCAGAAAAACATTCAAAAATCATGCAATCATTGTATCATTGATTCAATTTGAAAGTCAAGGTTTAAGTCGCGCATCAATAACGTCATCGAAAAGCAATAATTGGTTTTTAAATGTTATGAATAAATGATTTATTATTAATTTGATTGCAATATGAAAATAGTAATTTAGATAATAATAATATATTATTAATAAAAATAAATGATTTATCTGTTACTCAACAATGAATTGTAATATTATTTTGTTTATTCATTAGTTAATTGTTGTTTGAGTTTCTTTTCTGACGGAAGTTTCAGTTTGTTTTCACTCAAAACCTTTTCTCTCTCAGATTCGGGCAATGAATGCAAATAAGTGTTAAATTTTTCGACATATTTGGTGTTAGCCTTTTGCGCCTCTTTATTATAACCTTGTCTTTCATTTTCAGACAATTCCTTCCAACGTTTGGCAATGACGACCATCTTTTCCTTAGAGGCCACGTCTTTAAGTTCGCGTAACATTATCTTTGAGAACAAACTATAACCCGAATTAGGCGGTCGTTCGGGTTTACCGTCAAATTTGTCTTTCAATTGAATTTCCATTTTCGTCAAAACATTTTTGAACTTTTTGTTTGGTTCAAAACTCGGGTGTTCTTTCATATATTCTTGAAGTTGTGTTTGATATCGTTGTTCATCAGCCAAAGCCCTTCTGATCCATTTGATTCGCTTGCCTTCACTGAGTTGAGTCCAACTTTTCTTAATTTTGTCAGTTTTCTCTTTCCTATCTTCACTATTGGACGGAATCTTTTTAGTCTTTTCCTCCATAAATAGCTGCACCGGTGTCTTAGGTCTGGGTGGACCTTCTTGTGCGTGACCGTGTGATGATTGTGTTTTACTCATAGATGAAAACTCCACTTCCGGGTGATCCACTTTGAATTGTTCCAGTTTTTGTTTATATTCGGCGTATTCCCGATCATAGGCTTCTTTGTATTTTTGTTTTTTGCGATCATTGAGTTGTGCAAACTTTGCGGACAACAATTTGGCCAAATCGGTGACACTGGCGCCGGGTTGTGTTCGACCAAACTTTTCTCGTTTTTCCATAAAATATCTAAAGAATGGCGTCAATGGTTTCTTAGGAAAGTCTGGATGTTTAATCTTCTTAGAGTTGTTGTATGTCTGCCACGGGGCCTTTAACCACACCCGAGCGTCACCAACCATATCAGTCAATGTCCGGTACCGACGCAACTATTTTATATATCATATAATTACTGTATACTAATCACTATATAAAAGTATTTTTAAGTAATAATTAAATCAATGCCTACTCTGTTCATAATTTCAAACCATTTGTCTTTACATTCTTGTGCTGAATATCTGCCAAACCTAACCTTTTCAAAGTCCAACTTCTCTATAAGTGTCAGATATTTCGCCACATCATTCTTTGGCAAACATTTGGCCAAATTATTTATTAATGTATTCAAGTCATCCGTAGGCCATCCAAGAGTCGCATCGCTGGCTGGAGTGGCTGTTACTACCAATTCATTTACTAAACAAATAATGCATTATATATCTCAATCATTCACAATAATTATTACTATAAATTAAGTCAAAAACTGTAGTCAATGTAACTTTTAATTAAATTTATATTATTTTTGAATATTTAATGTAATTTAAAAACTTAACTCTATTTCAAAGTACAATATATCGTAATTATAAATTTACTGTCAATTAGTTATTATACCTATAATACAGTACTGTATGATAAGCCTATATCATAGGATATTATTATTAAGGTATTCATAAATTTATTAACACATGATATACAGTATAATATATAGCAAATAATGTAATGTAAAAACTAATGATAATTTATAGCTAAAGTTTCATAAAGTTTGCTAAATATTTGCAATCATTTATAAAAAATATATTAAACTTTATATTTATTGGTTTATATAATGATCACACATATGGATACATACTTGGATCCAACTCTGGTTCTTCATATTTAGCCTTTTTCGAGGGTGAAACTGATCCCTTTGATGGTGATGTGGTCACCGATAGTATTGAATCAGTAGATGTGTTGTGTTTTTCCCTTCGTTTCTGTTTTCTCTGCGTTGAGGACATGATATCATCCAATAATAGGACTGACTTTCACTTTTGAAATACAAGTGTTGTGTTGGCTCTCTCTCTCTCTCTTATATTAGTATTGAACTCCCAGTGCTCTAACAAATCCAACCGACAAACCGTTAGATAACTTTTTGAGTTCAATTAAAACAGTAAAATATATTCAATGAATAAATTAATTTCCAAAATAATTACTACAAATGATAACTACAATAATTACCTATAATTTACACAACAATTAAGCACTAAAATAGATGATTAAAAACAATTAATAAGAAATGCAATGAAATGTTGTTTTCACTAAAAGATTGTTTGTATTTGAAAAGCACTAAACGTTTTGTCTTAAAGTACAGCAAATGTATGGCGAGAGACAAATGGCTGCGAAAGCTGTCGACTCAATGCGCAACACATGAGGCAGTGATTGCCGTTCACAACAATCGGAAACAGTTCGCACTCAATGCCCGCCCATTTGACTGCCAGTATCGCTGTGTTGCCATCGTTTCCCAGTACTAACACTAACACTAATGCTTACAAACGGTGTGACGTACGGCACGACACCGTTGATCACTAGTCGGTACTCAACTGATAAGCCATACGAACAACACGTTTAGACTTTTATAGACCTATACTGTAATCATAACGTTATTTATGAATGAAATACAATTTGTTGTCATTAATGTTGAAGTAGTGATGCAATGATTAACTAAATGTTTGTTTTAATTAATTGATTGAAAATTAGAGTAAAGCGTTGTTTCAATGCATTCATACATTAAGACATTTATGTGAAGATATGAATGACTTAGAGGAAGGAGAGATCGATGATAATGGCGGTCATGAAGACAGATATCATGAAAATGTTACACCAAATAATGCAATTGATAACAATCAACGGCCAATTGTACCGAAAGTGAGACCTAATTTGGATCAAATAAGAGATCCATTGTTTGGTAAGAATGATACTGACCTTAGGTTTGACCGAAATTATAATGATTGCGATGAAAGACTCATTGGACACAACCCGTCATTTCAACAAGATTTCAGTCCAAACATTGAACCAAATCAACAATTTCTGGTCACAAATGAACCGAAATATAATCCAATTGACGCCTGTTCTCGGCCACCATATGTTGATCCGATGCCCAGATTTAAAGACAACAGGTTTGACTCATTTGCTTATCGACAGCCAATGTCTTCCAGTTATCAACATTTTGCAAATCAAAGACCGTATAGAAATAGATCGCGAATACCATTACTTCCATCCCCTGTAATGTTATCGAAATTCAGTCCATCAAATGAACCATTGTTTCAACCAATTAGACCATCACTGGTCACACGTCTTAATTATCCACAACACGCTATAAATACTAGTCACAGTCCAGTGCCAACTATTACCGGTAATTATTCAGCTGAAGACTGTTCACTTAATGATATACAATCAGTTATACCTCATGAGAGCCATCATTCAACTATAGCCATACCTTTTATATGCGACTCAAATAACATACAAATTCAAACCATTGCAGCAGATAATCAAAAGAGTGAAGACTCGTTTGACAATAAATACAATCAATTTATGAATTCATTGAATAGTAAAACTATTGTTATTGAAACATGTAATGAGATCGAAGAAGTAGAAATGTCTGACCAATTAATTGATAGGGATCTGTCACCATATGATCCCGAAGAAGATATTACTAAATTAATTCCACTTTCACCAATAATGCATAATATAGATAATGGAGTCAATAATAATAAAATAAATGACAAGTCGTTAAAATCTGATTCAAATGTTTATTACAAGAAAAAAGAAAACACTAAAAGTGATGAACAAAACAAAAGACTTGAACGTCTTCTTAAAGGTATTATTAGTCCAAAAAAGAGTAAATTTTCACAAAGTATTAAAAAACCCGTCAGAAGAGGAGTGACACCACTTAGGGATTCAAAGGTCAAGTTTTCTATTCATACAAAAACTGAAGATTTGTCGATATCTCACAATCGAAAGCGTAATATTCATAAAATTTGTAGAAATGTTGGCCACAAAAGTAGAAAAAAATTGAATCGATTGGCTAAACGACAAGTAATTACTGAATTTATTGATGATTGCAAACAAAAATCTAAAGAAAATATAAACGATACTTCATATGAGGAATTACTAGAAGAATATAAGAGAATACAACAACAACTAAAGGAATTGGATTACGAAGAAAAAAATGAAGAAACAATTGTGACGCTAATTGACAGAGAAGAACAAGAAAATATTGATAAGTTTGTTAAGAGTGGCGACGATGTCTATGAAATGAGTGGCGAACGCAAAGAAAATGATAATAAATCTGACGATCAGAACGAAGAAGAAGAAGAAGAACTAGAACTCAGAAGACTTGCGTTGGAATCGAAAAAGAAGCGCGAAATTGAAGAACAAGAAAGTGAAGAACTTAGACTAAGACAACAATTGCTTCAATCGTTGTTTAGATCGAAAGCTAAAAATGAAGTTCAGGTTAATGTAAAAGAAAATAAAATGATTAATGAAGGCATAGATGAAGAGATTACTTTGAAATCGATTGATGAAAATTGTGTTATAATTACTGAAACAAATGAGACAATTAAAGAACCATTCATTGCAGTTGAAGTACAATTGTCATCTAATTTAGAAACTGAAATTATCACCAAAACTGATCAATTGTTTCCTAAGCCAATACCGAAGTTTATTATATATTTTGGTGACGATTCTACAGATGAAGAACCAGAGATGAACGAAATTGTGGATAATGTTCCCAAAGGACTCGACTCATTCTTAAGACAGGCTCGACTAAAATCAGAGACTAACTCTACAGCGAATCCACAATCACTACAGATTATGTCGGAAACAAAACGAAGAGAATTAGATGAATTAAAAGCGGAAATTTTGAGAAGAGAACAGAACTTAATTAGTGATAAAAAGCTTAAAGAAAATGAAAATCTTTGGAAATCAGCAAAAAAGAGATTAGAAGAGAAGTTATCGAAACGTGATTTACTTAAAAGTAGAGTTACATTAAAGAGAAATTTATTACGAAAGGCACAGATCCAGGCGCGCAAACTTCATGAGGCATATATAGCCGCTCAACGAATTGTCACCGAAACGGCTTCAGAGTTCCGTAAGTTTAATGAAAAATTGAAAAATTCTGAAAAAGATGTCGAACAAGAAAATGTAAGCATTTCTAACCATCAAAAAGAATGCTTAAGAATTGGTACAAAATTAAAAGGAAAGTCATATAAATTACCAAAACATTTATCTGTAAAAGAAATGAGTGCTAATAGTGTTGTTAATAAAGAGAAAAAAGAATCGATTGCAGAGAAGAATTTGTCAAAAGAAGAGATGGCTAAACATAAGAAACGATTGCATCGAGAATTAGTACAAAATCTTGAATTTTATTCAAAATTATTAGATCTGAAGAAAGCAAATCTTATACGACCCGCATCTCCTTTATCTATCAAACCTCAAACATCTAATTTAGACTCTTTAGCAAAACATATAATGAAAGACATATCAATTGATTCACTAATATCGTTGGATTGTTTTCTTGAAAATATGTTTACAATTGATTATAATCTGAATACCAATATTACGATTCCTGATATTGGTTTGAATCTATCGACTAAATTGAATGACAAAAATAATAATTGTAATCTAAATGATAGTGTACTCTCACATTTACATTCATACAGACTAACTGAAAATCCATTAAATAATATCAGTTCAGATCACTGGACTAATGACTTGAATCCAATTCAAGAGATTTGTACATTTGGTCAGTATTTTGTATTTAATTTTTAAAACTATAATTTATATTATAATTAAATTTAATTGTTGTTATATTTTATAATAGATTTGTTAGGCACCTGTAATGATGACAAATGTTTTGGACAACATATTAGTAAAATAATATTAAGTCCATCGAATAAAATTGTTGACTTACTTTTGTATGATCCAGAAGTGGCTGGAGTTAAGACTGAATCCACACAAAAAATGAATAGTGGAATATATGAAGGAATTAGAAGAAAATTGGATCAGTTCTCACAAAAACTATTAAAAGCCAAACCAAATGATTCCTTAGAGACTCATTGTAGAAGAATAGCAGATTTAATCCGAAAACGTTTATTGAAAAAGAAATCAAATGAAGATCCGGTGGTTTGTTTGCTAACGCGACGAATACCTAAAATGTTTAATACACCAAAAATGAATGTTCCCTTTGATGATCTCATGTATAGATTTAATATAAAAGACAAATCTCTGGTTATAAATCRAAGCAAAATATCGGAACTAAAACTATCAGCTGATCCGGACATTTATATTAAGAATAGATTTTTTGCTCCCGAAGGAGTGCCTATAAGTGCACAATTGGAGACAACATTAGCTGCTGATCCAAATAATATTCAATTATGGATCAAATTGGCGTATTATCACATCAGCAGATGTTGTGAATATAACAACGACGACTCAATAGATCGGGCACTCAATGTGTTATCGCGAGCTTTAGAGCACAACAAAAGCGAACCCGAACTCTATGAACACTATCTCTATATTTACTCGAATCGAACCGTAAGAAAGGGTGAAGACTTGAAACTGAATTTAAATAACATTTGTAGGAAAGCTGTTGAATACTGTCCTCACTATAGGGTCTGGAAATGCGTTTTGTCTTTATTTGTCAGTTATACCGATAAGTTGAACGCTTCCAATGAATTGCTTTATAAACTGATAAACAAATCAATGTTAGGAATCAGTGACTTAGACATCCGTTCCCATCAAATATTAGAGACATTTCTTTATAAAATTCATCTCAATTTACAACAAAATAAAATTAAAGATTCACTAAAAGAGTTTAGTAAAGCTTTAGATAATAATGATAACGAAAATTTAGAAAATTTAAGCAATGAATTGATTGATTGTGACCGAGTATTTGCGTGGCTATGCTATACATATCTAATGATTTACAAACATTTACCAAACCATTGCTTTGAACTAACAAAACAAGGTTTTCCTCAGTTAATCAATAAAAATGCATTTATTTTTGATTGGATTTCATTAAAAGATAGGTTTAATTTGAATGATATGAAGTGTCACTTGATTAGAGCCACACAACAGTGTCATCTCAATAATAAAAACAGTTTAGCCATTCACGTGAATTTAGCCCAACTTTACTCAGTCTATGAAAATGATGACAAATTTTTTAACGATTTGCTCGACTCTCTTAAAGTTAATGTTATTGAATGGCCTCTAATGATAAACAAAAGGTTCACATTTAAAGATAATGATATGAATTCAGTGTTGAATTTTGATGAAAGTCTTAGTCAACCCAATAAAGACATTAGAATCCATTTGAATGCCGCCAAACACTATACAAGTATGGGATTCATATCTGATGCTAAAAATCAATTGCTTATAATTGCATCACATTTTTATATGAATTGTATTATAAATGTAAATATCATGAAACCAGCCTTTGAAGCACTTCTTTTAGAAAGTCATGAAAATGAACACAACTTTGAGTTAATTAATTGCAGAAAATCTAAAGAATCCAATTCTCCTATTCTTTGGTTGTCTTATATGTATGTTTTGTTTATACGATAGAAATATCAGTTATTGATATTATTTTAATTATGATTTTTTTATTGTAATTTATAATTACCGGTAATTTAGATTATTACTGGAATTGGACTGTTGTTGTGAAAGAGATATAGACTTAGCATTTCAAACGGCATTAGCTCTTTGTTCATCCGATGGAATCAATGCTAAAGATGTGCAACTTTTGTGGTCAAAGTAATTGATTTAAATTATTATATTTAATTGTTTTGTTAATATTTTTCTAACATTTTTTATAAATACAGTTATTTAGAGTATTCGATGAAACACATAACAAATGAAAAACAATTTATTGACTTATTTGAAAGTGTTAGACATTGTTGTCTTACAATCAAAGACTCATTATTTCAGTCACAAGTAATAAGATTTTTATGTCAAAAATTACCACCAAATGAAAAATCAAAGGCATTGATTCAGTTCGCAAAACTGATTCCCGAAAACATAAATATAATGTTAACAGCCATTTGTTTTTCACTTGAAATCAATCAAAAAGAAAGAATTTGGCTTTTAGTTAATTATCTTATATTTGACAAAAAAATTCGTATCAAATGTTTGGACTTTTGGAAAATGTAAGGAAATATTATTATCATATCTTAAATTTATTTTATTTAATTCAATAAAACATTGATATTATTTACCGTAAGTGTTATTGGATTGGCTATTGAAAGAAGGGACCACTTGTCAGCTCATAAATTGTTTCAAATAGCAATTTCATTGATGCCATACAATACTATTCTCTGGCAAAATGTATAGAAATTTGTATAATTTTTTTTATAAACAATGTTTTTAATTTTTAGCTCAAATTATACGAGACGTGTATTAAACACAGCGAACATATAAAACAAGCGAAAAGTGTTTGTGAAGATCATCTCAAAGTTCCTCTAATTATATAAATATCTATTTTCATTAAGAAATGCTTTTACGGTAAGTTTTTTACAGTAATTGTTATGTTGTTTATAAAAATATATACTATTTATATGTGTGTGTATTTAAGTATAAATAATAATAGTATAGTATTTTATAATAAATTAAAAATTATTTTTACAAAAAGTGTTTCAATCCATTGCTTTTATACATTAACTGACCAATAATTCTAAATTTTCTGATATTTTAATTGAAAATATATTTGTAATTTTTGACACTTTTGTATCATTAAGTCCTTTATTAAAATATAAATTAGTGTAAATTTTTTTTATAAAAATTAATGATTAAATTGAAATGAATTAACAATAAATAAAATCCGTATAAAATAAATATTAAATAAATATATAAAATTATGGCACTTAGTTATAAATGTATGCTAAGGTTTGTGAACAATTAGCTGCCACGAAGGCCGCCACTTAAGAGCGAGAATATCATTAGCAYTCAATTTTGCCGATCCATAACTCAGTGGCAAAAACTGATAAAATGTATAAACCATTGATGATATTAATAGTATAAGTAATAGATTCATGAATTTTGTTGGTATTAAGTAATTTAAGTGTTCAATCATAGCTGACATTAACATTATTTTGAAGACCAGAGCCGGCAAATAATGGTGCAAAAACAGTGTTCTTTCAGATAAGAAATAGGGTATTAAATAAGCGAAATAACCGATTAAGAAAAACTGTCCGATTCTTATAAATTGCTGCCATTCACCTAAATATAACATTTACTTTAATTATATYAAAAACAATTACAAGTAAAATAAAATAATCTTACGATTAGATATATCGAAAAAGTGACGCTTTCTTCGTAATAAATAAATCACATATAATATCAAATAAATAACGATTGATATGTTTGCCGAATACCATAAAGTAATGTTACCAATCAAATGTATTTGTCCCTAAAATACAAATAAACTATTTAAATGATTGTTTGAAACATTAATTACCGGTAATTGAAATCATACATTGCTTTTGGTGTCAATCCAATAAGCAATTCCTTTAGATAGTGTCACCCAATCTATTGGTGAATCACAGCTATAGATATGGTTTTGGACGTTCTCCTGGTTGACGACAAGCATCTTGTATTGCAATTCAATCATTTTGTCTATAAATGACATTTGTGTTGGTTTTAATGGTACGAACTCAGCCAAACCCATCTCACGTTCCCTTTCTTTTGCATCCGAATTCTTAGTATATCTGTGTTCTTCGACATTCCAATTGGTGTCTTCTTGATTATGATTCTTATCGGTGACAATCTCGTGCTGATTATAACCCCAATCAGGTAATTGTTTGCCACTAAACTWTAAGTTTTAGATAACAAATTATGATTATATATAGCAAAGTTGTCACATAAATATTAGATCAAACTTTTAGTGCTTGTGTTGTATTGATGTGAATGAGTTGAACTCTTGAGCTAATTGTATGCCAAAATCCATTTGTTTCATCACTATTCAGAAGCTTAACTTTCCATAAGTTTTGTGCCGCCATTGATATATTGTAATCTATATAACACGTAACCTCTTGATTTTGTGGAGACATTGGTGCCGCCACATCATGACTATTGAGTGCGCGCCCACTCATTCCATGAATCAGTTGTATAATATCACCATCTTTTATACGATCAATTGGCTCAGAGGTAACTAAATCATTGCTAAATAATTAATACATTATTATAATATCGATAATTAAATTATTGCTTTAATTTCAAAAAATGGAAAATTAGTAAAAATTCTAATAATGTTTTACATTTGTGGTCTCTTAACAATCCACCAATTGTTGACATCTTTGAATGAATAACAAGTGACCTGTTGTTGATGAGAACTACCTCTTTTATCTGGATATCGGATCGGATACAGTGCTTGATGTGAGTGCATCCAACACGCCCTTCCGTGTGTATGCCTTAAAGTTATTTGTGAGCCGTGAGCTATCTCTAAAGGTTGACCTTTAGTTATTGATGCCAACCCACCCTTAATATTATAAGTTAAATAAATTTGWGTTATATATAAAAATTTAAATAACAATACCTCAAGACTGGCCTGGAAAGCACTGGTCATTATGTTATCGTGAGGGCCGGCATTAGTGAGAATAGACAAATGGATGTAAAACACAATTAAATAGACAAATATGGGAAACACAATAAAATTGAATAATTGAAACACAAATTCAAGCCATAAGTGCAACTGTAATGAGAAAGTTATTAAAAAATAATTTTAATTATTCAATACAAATGAGTATTAAGAATATTAAATTACCGTTTTAATAGTTCGGTCGGCAATTTTTGACCAATAATTGTAAAAAATAATAAAATGTACTAAAATTAATGAGAATATTCCGATATATTTCACACAAATACCAAATGTTATAAATAGTGATGAAATAATAGACAACAAAAACCATTGCAATGAAAATGTGGGCTTTTTTGAAGAAATTACAAACAATAAAATGCCAAACAATGATAAAAATATGAGAATTGATTCCATTAAAATAAATCGTGATTGTGTTAGTAATGAATTGTCTATAAAATATATAATTAAAAAAACATTAACTTTTAATACTTAACACAACCGAAACTGACCTAATATAATAAAAAGTGCGGCCAATGCGGCCGTTTTGTGAGATAAACCAATTTCAACTATTAGGTGATAAACAGTAGGAACAGTCAACGAACCAAACAATACGGGAACAAATCGTAATGCTTTTAATGGTACTTCAGGGCTATAATCTAAAAAAATATTTATCAATTATAACCGGTAATGATAAATCCATAATTATTATTAATGATAACCAATTGTCGGTTAAGGTATATGACATCAACCCACCGTTTTTTATTATGTATTACAATTGATTATGTATTAGTTATATAAAATATKATTAATATAACATTTTAAGACTACAGTAATATTTTTTTAGAGCAACGGTGTGTTGATGTCATATATCTTAACCCAATTGTCTTACTTTCGCCGATATTGTTAAACACATGATTGCCTTTATAACCGGTAATATAAGCACTTAAAGCAATCAATTGTTTGCCGAGCGGTGGTTGAGAGTCAAAAAAGAAGACACCTCTCAGATAAAGAGAGACAAACTTTCCGTAATGTAATTCATCGAATCTAATGATACATCAAATGATAATCAATTAAAACCACAATTTTTAAGACTAACTAATAATGTTTAAGACATACACAACACTTGATGGTTCAGACAATCGATAGAAACGAAAAACAAATGCAATGACAAACAGAAGCCAAGCAATGAAATTGATTTCAATGTTAAGAGTCAGTGGTTTGTCATCTGAATTGTCGGACACATCTGTTGTTTCATTCATAATCTTTTCTTCAGTCAAACACTTGTTTCTATCATTTTTATGATWATTGAGTATCGTTTGACTCAATTCATCATCAAATATGTTGTCATCTCTTTCTTCACTAATCTTCCGCAGTCTTCCATTAAGTGAAGAATCATTATTCTGTTTGATAACCATTTTATCTCAATTATCACCGAATGAATCAATTGATGGATTAATATCTTAATTGTCAGGTCATGTCATTCAATATAAAAGCAATTAATTGTTATAAATATGCATTAATACCAACAATAATGACATTTGATTAATGAGTTGATAGTTAATGTATGGTTGGATCCGATGACAAACCACTTCAAGTCATATCCGATGTTATGATGAGTACATCATAAGTGACAACAAACCAAACGAGTCATACATTCAAACCACGTGTCAGTTATGAAAACACTCAACCAATCAGATCATAGCTTTCAACTAATGTTTCAAAACAATTATCAAAAGTTTTTTTATTTATTCAATACTTTGACTAATATTTCTCTGAAGTTTTGTTACAATATTTGACATTTTATATACTTTGGAAAAGTTAACAAATAGTAAAGCAATTTATATATCATTGATATAATTAATTAATTATTATTATATATATAATAAACATTGAAATTATATGATGTGGACATCATTATGAGTGCCAATTGTACAGTATGTATATATATGCAAATAGATCCATGGTCAGTTATTTAATAATATAAGTACAGTAGTAATATTATATAAATTTATTAAGTTTTGTTGGTTTTAAAAACAAATTTTCTTAAATATATTGCCTTTATTGTAATGGTTATACTAATACTAATATTACTAATATAATATACCCATTGAAAATTACAATTTTTAATCACAATAAAGTAGTTTTACTTCAAGTTTTATTTGTTAACAGTATTATCAAATAATTATCCGTTTATACCATTATTATAGCTTTAGTAATACAAATATTATGAAAAATACTATATATTCTCTATACAATTGTTATTTGAATTATTATTATTATAATTTAAGATCAAAAATCCTATTTAAAACCAATTTAACTCAATTTCTAAGTGTTTTGTTGACTTAACAAAAGGTTTTTTAATTGCATTTATTATCTAATTATAGAAAATATTACGAAATAAATGTCCGGTTTTTAAATGCATATCTTATAAGAATCTAAAGCATTGAAGTTTTCATAAGTTAGACATTAATATGCTATTCATGTATTTTGTTAGAAGTTATTGCAATAATAATAAATTTAAGTATATTTTCAAGCAGTCTGTGTGACTGTTGTGTTGGCTAAATAAGTCACTGATTTTAAATTTTGTAATTTATAATTATTACAATATATTGAGTAATAGAAATTATTAAATATATAGTTTAGTATTAAAACATTTCTTTAGATGACCATAGATTAGGTTCACATTATTAGTTCAATTGCACACAATTTTGACATTCACTATCAGATTGTAAGTCATTTTAAATAATAACTCCTTTAAAAACATACTTCAAATTTAATGCAATTTATTTTAGTATAATAAATATTGCATAATATTAATAATATCATAAAATTATACTAAATATAATATATCAATAATAATTTCGTGTCAAAAATATATTTAAATTATCTCTAAATATCAATACGAAATAATAAAAATATATATACCGGTACTATAAAAACAATTATATTTAAACACATGACTTAGATATAAAATCATTTGATATAAAAAATATTTTCTATTATAAACAATACATTAGATTCCACTTTATTTCATTAAATTATTGGATAAAAGATTTTATTGTGATTGAAAACCAGTACAACTCTTACTGGTAATAATAAAAAAAAAAATTAATGAACAATAAATAATAGTTTACTTTAATTTCACTTAAATTGTCTTTTTAATCAAAACAATGCCTTAGTTTTCCACTTCATTGCTCGCAAAATATCTTTAATTATAAAGTGGACGAACTATTACCAGGAGATACAGATTATCGATTGTTTTCAATTATATTTACTTATTTATGTCATTAAGCAATGAAAAATTTTGTGAAATCTTCATCACTAGAAATAATAGATAAGACAATCAATTTTTTTAATGCACGTAATATTTAATAAGTTATTATAAATTAAAGAAAATATTTTAACAAATATTATCATTTAAAAAAATCGTTTCAAAATATCAATAAACGTTTGATTCAAATATTTAATAAAAAACACATTCTTCAAAGTAAATCTCATTTTATAATTATAATACAATACAAATAGGAAATACATTAAATCAAAATTAACTTTTTTATGCTCAATGATAATTAGGTTTGTTTTAGACATCAATCGCTATCACTTCCAGATTCACTCAACCGAAGATCTTCACCTAAAATATAAGACAAACAAAATTTAAGAGTTGTTTAAAACAAGGAGTTGACATGTTTTGCACATATGATTGACTTTTAAGTTCATTTCGTATCAATCAAATGAAAGTTTATCATTATTATAATTATATTAAATTACTTTATACAGTATAAGTGATAAAACAATACAAAACATACTTAATTGACTAAATTTAGGCATCGATGGCAAAACAGATGTATTGCCATTACTTGCACTGTGTTTGGATGTATTGGACACCTGTTTTGTGTTAATATCTTCATCGGACTCGTACTCACTGGAAGATTGGTCTGACTTTATGCTGGCTTTAGGTTTATTTGAATTATTGTTATTGTGGTTCAAAGACAAGTTTGCATTAGTTATATGTTTTTTAGCACTGTTTGGTTTGTTGATCACTTCTTCATCACTACTTGAATCACTACTACTATTACTAGAACTAGAGGAAGATTCAGCATCACTGGAATCACTTGAAGAGTCAGACAAACCCAATTCATTATTAATATCACGCTTGGAGTTCACATTATGAGCAAAATTAGTACTGGAATTTGAAGCAGTTGTGGATGCCTTCGTCAAAGATGATAGGGTCGGCATTGAAGGACTGATAGGCCGATTCACTGGCGGACTCTTGTTTTTTGAATGATTCAATGAATGTCCATTAGAGTTGGCCTTATTTGGAGACGCTTTTTGTTTGACGTTTGAATTATTTGGCGAATTTTGGCGATTATTTGCAGTCAGAGGAGAGTTTGGCTTTTGTTGAGACAAATGTGGCACTAATTTCTTGTTGTCTATCGGTGTGTTTGGCCGTCCAATTAAAGGTTTATGTGTTTTACTCGGGTTCTGTTGTCGTGTCCTCTTAACGATTATATTTTGATTCAACTTTTCGAGTGTTATTTCTCCTGTCTTGTGGTCAATGATCAGAACGCACTCCTTTTGGTGCGATTTTCGGGATCCTTTAAATACCGTTTCTGAAGTGCCCGAACCCTCAGTGTTGGGTGCCATCACTGTCACCTTATTATTGGCCTCCACTTCCAGGACAGCAGCCTTTTCTCTATCAACTGATGCCGGTTTAAAGTCATCTATAATATCATTATTAATGATTAATATAATATTGATTAACTAACTCTTTCATATATCTCATATACAATTAAATTGTTTGAATCATTATACACTGTATATACAGTATTAAAGTACAATAACTTTAACACAAAAACTAATAACGATTAACCATAGTTTTATCCATAAAAATTAAAAATACTTTTATTTATAGTGATTATGTGACACTTTTTAACAAGTATAGATGATTAATAAATAATTATAATATAACTAATAAATTGATAATTAAATTAAAAACATTTACTTTTCAATAGTGTCAACTCATTTACTTTAATACAATTTTATTAAATATAAATTAATGATTTAACAATTATTTGTCATATTATCACAATTTTAAATAATTTAATAAAAAACAAGTTTTGTTATAACTTATATCCTATAAGAAAACTAAATATAACTTAAATATCCTTTCGTTAAAATATTTTCACACCAATAGTTTTGAAACTAACAATAGTTATAAAGTCATTAATAAAAAGCTCTAAATAATTAACAGTCATTAAAATGTGTGACATTTTTAGCTTTTTATAAATCTTATTATATAAATATTTAAAATAATATTTTAATTAAATTGTTTTTTATAAACTTAAAAGTATATATATAAATTATATTATAATCAATATTTAATTTGTAATTTGTCAATAGTTAATTTATGAATAATATACAGTATTTATTGTATAAACAAAACCTACAATTTTAATATTTAATAAAAAGTTAGTCTTTTATCAATATTTATAGCCTCAAGCAATTATAATATAATGATCAGACATATCGGAAATGTTTACTTATTTTTAATAAATATATTACTATTTATAAATAAACTACTTTTATATTTATTACATATAACACATATTGTATTATATTGTTTAAGTGTTTTTTAATAATATAAAAAAACMTCAAATATAAAGAAAGTAGAAATATTTTTAATTCACTTATTATTTTTTCTCAAACAAAAATCTCAGTGAAATCAAAACTTAAAAGTATTTAATAATAATTGTGTTGATCTCTCACTTAAAAATATATTGGGCTAACCATTGACTATAGTTATTCATAAATGTTATTTTATTGTTATGACCCATATTTTAAGGCTATATTTTTATTACACGATTTTAAGATTGAATATTAAATTATGAGTTCAAAAATAATTTTCAAAACTTTAAAAAAGTGGGACATATGTTATGATTACACTATAAAATCATATTATATACGATTATATACCGTACATATAATAAACTAAATAATAGTTTAGTCAGGTATTTAAAACAACTTTAAAAATAGTTAAAACATTTTAAAGGTAAAAGTGATTTCAAAAGAAAAATTTAAAAACCATTTTATTAACACATTGTATATTATATATGTATCTATTATTTACAAATATAGTACTTTATATTAAAACATAAAATTATTATTATTATTATTATTACAATTAAATCTATTTTTTAATGATAACAAAAATAAGAGAAAACTATTTAACTTTCATTTTATCAGAAAATAATAAGTAATGCTTTAAATCAAAGTCATGGCTATAATGATATGATATGACTGTGTATTTAATATCAATGTTTATAATGTAAAGTCAAACATAAAGTATTGTAACATAAATGAAAATATTTGGGAACAGTTTGGGTGATAATATCAATGACTTACATCTGATGGTATGGAATGAATTGTTGGTATCTTTTGATGTCAGAGTGGGTCCTAACTTGAGTTCTCGTATCTCATCTCCGATACCCAACCGCTCTGTTATTGTATTCATTGTCATCACTKGTGGTCAACCATCTGAAGACACATTTGTTATTCAATGTTGACGTCTATAAGAGATTACAATTGTATTTAATTAACAAAAATATGTCATTAAAAACACAGTTTCAATCAATAGGTAACTAAACACTAGTATTAATAATGTTTTAATACAGCATATTATGGCAGAGTATAGCAGTCTATACACTACTGTATGTATTATTAATAATACAGTGTGTATGGCATCCATACGCTATGGGAGACACCCATAGGTGTGACCAATCATTTCAAACCAATCACTAATCGACTAACCATTACTTGACTACAATTGCTTTTAACCCTTATTTATAGTAACGTTGTTTATGACTGATTGTCAATAGGATTACTGTAAAGACAACATCACATTAACGACAATAACAACAATATTGGATCAGTTGAGTGATCAATGATTAAGTGATTAAACAATGGGAAAGGGATACAACAATTTCATGTGTAAGAAGCCCTTCCATCCGGCTTCGAGAGACAACATCAAAAGGGTTAGTATTATTACATTAATTGTTATCAATCATTGTATTGATTGATATGTTTATTATGATATCTTGTGATATCTTGTGGCACAGGTATGGATGGCTGAACAAAGAGATGCGGACAACAAGAAAAAAGAAGACGAAATGAGAGCTCAATACGAGAAGGAACAGGACTTATATAACAATAGGTATATCTTTAATAACATTTGAAATCAATTGACTATTTGTTGATTCAATTAACTCTTATTTTGTTGTATTCTTTGTCAGACTTTTAGTGAGCACTGAGAGTAAAGACAAGTTGTCATTGAATTTCATGTATGAGGCGCCCAAAGGCGCACAAAAGGAAAGACAACGAGAAGATGACGAACCAGAGTTCAAGTTTGAGTGGCAGAGAAACGCTCCCCGAGAAAGGTATAACCCGTCGACCACTTGTTGTGATTATTGAGTTAACATATTATATATGTATTACTAATTTGTTTGAATAGTTTTGCCAAAAACAATATGGATATTCGTGACCAACCATTTGGTATTCAAGTGAGAAATGTTCGGTGCATTAAATGTCACAAATGGGGTCATCTAAACACTGATCGAGAGTGTCCTCTCTATAATCAAGGAAGCTCTCTAATGGACGGTTCCAGTTAGTCGACATTTAATTCAAATTTTTTAAATAAAAATTAATTTTATCATTTGATAACAATAGATAAGGTGGCTCCGGATGAGTTGATGCGCGCCATGCAAGAGGATGGACTGGCACTTAAAAAGAATATCGTTGGACAACATTTTGATCCCAATAATGCCAATCAAGTAATGATGGTTTCACAAGAAGAAGATCCGGAAACCACTTTTCTTAAGACACTTTCTTACAAACAAAAAAAGAAATTATTGAAAAAGTTAAACAAATTAAGCGTTGCCTCCAATGAGGACTCAAAATGCAAACATAAAAAACACAAAAGTCATACTAAGAAAAGTTCACAAAAACATAATKACGAGAAATACAACAGACATTCATCGAAAAAGAGATCCCATAAAAGTGATGAATCTTCTGATGACTCGTCTTCCAGACATAAGAAACACAAAACTAACAGCAAATCAAACACTTTATCGACGCGTGAGGAGAGAGAAAGATATCACAGCAAAGAACGATCTAAAGATAAAGTGAGAGATAAAAGTAGAGATAGAAGTGATAGATATGACAGACATGAGTCGTCATCTCATAAAAAGTACAAAAAATAATTTTTGGTTATTATTGTAAATTGAATTTTATTAAATTTATCGTATATTTCATACTACCGGTAATCATCAAATAATATTTAACAATATATAATCATAAAATTATATTTTGAAACATTTACCCTTTATTATATTTCATTTGCATCAAAAGTGAATATTTTTAATTTAAGTTACGGTAATGTAATTAATATATTGTTTTGTCTCACTTTGTCTTTACTAATTAATTACCAATTAATTTGAAGTATTCTTAAAATTTATAAATAGTATAAAATTATTCAATAATATTACACTCATTAATGATTCATTTACGACAATTTCTATAATATTATTAATATTATATTAAACCCTGTTGTCTATACTCTAGAGTCTAGACATATTCACTTAACGGTAATATTATTATTAAGACAATGAGACAAAGCTGTAGGACTTTAATAGTATAAAATAATTTTCTACAAATGCAAGTAAATATACAAAAAAAAAATATTGATTACAAGATTATGTTTATATTCAATAAAAATAATAAATTTATATTTTACCTGTAATTGAATACTGTATTACATAATATAGATTTTATTACTATTTATATTTTTATTATTAAATTGATTTTTGTCATATCATAGATGTTACATAGTTTAATATTTAAATAGAAAAATAATTTAATTATTAATTATCCAGGACAGTAGCACATAAATTGTCTATTGTTTTGCAAAATATATGGCCAATTGATTGTCCAAAATAGTGATAATTTATATAAAGGAAAGTCAACATCCGTTAAATTATTAATGATATTGTTTGTCACATAAGAGTTATTTTTATACTCTATACTAGAAACCACTAAATAATTATAGCAAACAAACAAAATTAAAATTAATTTTTTCATTTCTTTTAACATTTCAAGATGTTTTAACAAAAAAATAATAATGCTAATTTTCATAAAAATAATACTGTAGATTAATATASAGTAAATAAAATGTTGATTATTATAGAATTTAATTTATAGGGTTGTAGTGAACTAAATACCTTAATATTTATATTTATATTAATCGCAGGTTTAATAAACAAAAGGTTGGTATTTAGTGCAAACAAATAAATGTTTTATTACTGTCAAATCGTTTGATTAATAACGACATCAGTAATATCGTAAATCTATTGTTTGAATAAAATTGTTTTATATTTAACTTTTAAACTTATTTTCAAAAGAAGACATTACCTTAAAATTAAATAAAAACATTGTTTACCACTTCTATATATATATTCAATGTCCACAAATAAATATAATTTAATACAAACACATATTTAAAATTAAAAATTAATAAGTTTTTAAATTGAAATTAATATAAATTAATGCAAAATAAAACATTTATTTATTATAACTACAGTTATAGCAAAAATATTTAATTAATTAGATAAATCATATAAACAGTATATAATGCTAAAATTTGTAACATTGCATTAAATTAGAAATAATTCACATTTTGTTGACATTATAGTCAACAATTGAATACCATTTGTCGGGAACACAGAGGAAGTACTGATCCATTGCTTCACAGAATCTGATTCGATATAAGTCTGGTTGAACTATAGTCGGGAGCTTTCCCTGACTGCCCACTAACTTCACAACTGATTCAATCTTCTTATCCCAAGTGAACGGTCGGATGTAATCAATGATTCCAACGACAAATTGATTTCTTTGATCTTCAATACCAACCAATAATGAGTAATCCATCACAGAATGTGACGATAAAAATGTCGAATCGTTATCAATGGCTGTCCTAAGTATAGCTTTTGAATGTGAGTGAACATAGAGTGGACAATCGCATGTCATTTGCATCAGATTCTCGTCCAACAAAACGATTTGGTCGGCCTTCAGATTCGGCAAATTCGTGTCCACCAAACGGTTCCTCATTGAGCCCTTGAGATCAAACTTTTGTGTAATATTACACTTATAAAACAAGTTCTCCATAACTAATAGGTATAACTTTGAGGCATTATTTGTGGCCGTATTCTTATAACTGGTCCGATAAACACCAACAATTCGGGCCAATAATGATGGCCTGCATTCAAATATAGCTCGGGAACAATATTCAAAATAATAATTTGCAATATTTAAAAATGACTGCAACTCTAATTTGGACATCTCTTTTAAAATAAATCTATCGTTGACTGTCTTACAGAAAGTTGATCCCGATTTGCCACCTCTTGCCTTCCACGGCACACAACTACTCAAAGATCGGATATAAAGTTCTTCGTCATTATTTGAATCCAATATATGGGCTCTAAATTTACGAAATTGTTCGGCAAAATAAACACAACAATAAAATTTGGCGTTTGATTCGCTGAATTGAATATCTAAATGCTGTGTCGTTATGTTATTTGATCCCTTATTACTATTTGGATCACTGTTAAGATCTGTTTCAGCAGATGTCGTCAATTTTTTCTTAAAAGCCGGACTCACCGTTTGCTTCATAATATCTGACAGTTGTCTTTCATATTCAGCACTGGTTAAAGTGTAAGCAATGATAGATCCGGGATCATCGTCTTTGACAACTATTTTAATGCTATCTCTATGATTGGGCAAAATATAGTGTTCACTCAAAGAAAACGGATTATTAATCACTAAATTATTAGCATTTGAAAGAAACTCTTTAAATATGCGTTTGACACCAAACTGTGGACCGTCTGGTCTAACACTTGATGTAAGGCTTGTTATGGATTTAATTTCAGTCGATGACCTCAAAGACTGATTGTCATCCTGTTTCTTGTATTCATCACTGGATTCATGTAAATTATAAACGGCATAATTATCACTATTGGCCTCAAAATTGACACCGTTTTCAATACAATCATTTATACCAACGTCTACTTCATAGGTATAACTTGAAACCGAAAGTTTGGTCTTTTCTCTGCTAATGTCAAGTCTTTCAGCAAATTCATCGTAGGATTCGTCAAGTTTTATATTATTCAAGGCTTCGAGAGTTTCCTTACATTCATTTTCTTGTTCTTCAATACAAGTCTTTAATATTTCTGAATTATTATCGGCTTTATTGATGACATCAAAACTTGAGTTAAGAGCTGCAATAGTTTTTGATGAAATAATTTGATCCTCAATTAATAAGTCTATAGAAGGAGTGTACGCTTCATCATTAGACACATTTTGAACGGGAGATGCTTTCGGTTGTATTGAACTAGTATTTGGTTTTTCTTTAATAATTTTCTCGTCTTTCTTCTTGTTTGTCACGAAGTCTTGTATTTTAAGATTCCATATATAAACAGATTCTGCAATCATTTTCTTTAATTGTATTAACGAGTCATTGAGATAACAAATAGATTTCATTTGTAAGCTTTCATTATTACAAGAAGTTAGTGTCACTTGAATTTCTTCAATGGTTTTCCTAAAAATTGCTCTCTCTTTTGACTGAATTTGCATAAATTCATTAACATTTGTTTCATATTTTGTGCCAATAGTCTCATCTTTAATTGAACACAATTTTTCGAGTATTAATGAATATATTTCATAACCTTTAATTGCATTTTGCTTTAAATCTTCAATAAAATCAGATTTGCTAAATGTGTCGCAATAGATAGCAATATGATTTGGCGGTAATATAATTTCATGAATATGGACGGGCATATACTTAAAACTGGCCACAATTTGTTTGTAAGCAAAAAACTGGAAGTGATCGACATGTAGTGAGTGCTCCAGACATTGTACTGAACTTTGGGTAGCTCTACGCCTATAGTTTGATAAAGAAAACTTCAATTCCAGATATTTAGCAAAAGATAGTGACCACGAATCAGGTGACAGAGTTGAGTAAGGAGTGCCTGTTTTGCATTTCTGACACCACGACCACGTAATGATCGAGTCTTGTGCCGCCTCTACCTTTTGCTGCAATTGTCTCAACACTATTAATATACAACCATTTGAGTGAACAAATCGTCGCATGTGTTCAATCATTGGTGTGGAACAGGTATTGCTAGGACAGGTATATGTGGGTCGAAAACAGTATCTCTCAAGAAAACCACCTAAAGGTATGTCATTGGAACCATAGAACTCCATATTTATAATCCATGGTTTAACACAATAATTGGGTGCATTAGTTGATGCATAAGAAAAACTGGAGAACAGAACCGATAATTTCTGATGAGATTTAGGATTCAGTGCATCGATTCGTATGATTTTTTTGTCATTTATTATCTCAGTTTCACTAAAGTTTGGTTTAGGTTTGKATTCTTCAATATAATTCTCAATGAATGGACCATTAGCTCGAAAATCAGCGATCAATGACTTAACTTCGTGTGAATTTATAGGAAGTTTTATATTTCTAACCAAAAGTGGATGTTTTCTAATAGAAATTGATTCAATGGGTGACGGGTTTCTCACATTTAATGATTTTTCTACTTTCAATAGTTCGCTATCTTTGGATAAATTTTTCTCAAATTTTTTCGACCAAATTATGTTTAAATCAAAATATTTTCTGTGTATTAAATTGTTGGATACATTTGTCAATAAATAAGGCAACGATATTGTTATAAATGGTGAACAACTTAATTGTAATTTTGTTAAATAATGACTTAATATTGTTGTTAATTCAAAAAAGTTATCTTCATTTGAATTTTCTTTAATTTCCTCAACATTTACATTAATTGGTGACAAAATGTCTGTTGAGATTTCAGATGCCATTGATCTCAATGGATCTGAATTATCACTAACAATAGATGTGGTAATACTTCTGTCTTCTTTAAGCAGAATATCTTTTTTAGTGCTATTACTTGTATTATAATTTGCGATATCTTTAGTATCGATTGACTCTTGAGAAGGATAACAATACTCATCCATCAGAAATGATCTTTCGAGTTGCCAGTTATATTCACAAAATATCATAAATGATAAAATAGATTTAATTTTCTTAAGTTCCTCAAGAGGACCACCTTTCAACAGAACAGTTAAACCTAAATACTGAGGACAGCCGTCAAAAAACATTAATGTTTTTTGATTAAAAGTTTGTAAATAAAATTTCTGACAAAATCCTAGCTGTGGAACACCTATTTGTGCGTCAAGTGAAGACACAGTAACAGCGCCGGTAAATCGCGATAGTCTTTCAATGATAATTGGCTTAACATTAGAGACAAGTGTAATACCATAATCAAGAAGCATATCTTTTGCAATTCTGGCCACAGTTTTTTCGACAACAATGACATCCGGACCGTAGGACACAATCTTTGAAATCAAATTCTGTATGTATTCGTTCTCTTGTAATAAAATTGAATCCAAATATGTCATCTTTTTTTCATTTCTCTGGTAAACAATAGGACACGAAAGCAACAAAATCTTCGGATGAATTATCGTTTGTCTCATCTTTCTGTTGGCAATATTTTTAGTGAAGACAACACCATTTATAATATTACAATCACTTTTCATGCCGTTTGCAATTGTCTTAATTTTTAGATAATTTCTTATATCCATTTCCTCGACATCACTACGACTGTTTGGTCGAACAACTGATGAAACTTTATTTGACAACTTCTGAATTACATTTAACCAACTTAAGGATAATTCCTCCTCTTCAAGAAATTGAGTCAACAATTTATTATACAAATGATTGTATGAGGCGTTGAGTGAGTCGTAAACAAATTTTTCTTCTGTCCCTTCTTTAAGTGATTCCCAATTAGATGAAGAAGTAGTTACTTCAAAATCAACACTAAGTCCATCATTTGGTGTCGTCTGTATATTCTTCTCAATTGATGGCTTGTCGACATCATCACTAGATATGGTGGCTCTAGAAATACAAACCCTATCCTTATGTATGTCTAATTCAATGTCATAAGTGGATGTCGATCTCTTTGGTGAGATTGACGGTGTCTTTTGTCGTAAACGAACATCACTTTCAAAAGAATTATTGCTTTTCAGTGAATCTAAAGACAAGTCTAGTCTCTCAAAACATTGAATGTCTTGTTCATCGTTTATCTCTTTAACCCAAAGTGGTTCATGAGAAGCCTCTTCGCTCTTTAATGGTGTCAAGTCATCATCTAATTCGTTGTTACAAATTTTAATGGGAGTCTTATAACTACCAAATGATGACAAACTATGCAAAGGGGAAGACGAGGAACCAATTTTATTGATGGCTTCCTTATCGATACTAAGTATTCTTGCTTTTGGTTTAGTATAATCTTCTTCTCGGAAACCGATTGAACTCTTGCGAGGAAATGCAGATAAAGAGTGCGGACTCATAGATATAGCAGCAGTCATATCGTCGACATTTCTTGAATGATCACTTTGATCGGGTCCTGAATTATGAATTAAATTTTGGGAAAAAATTATTTCTCGAAAATGATTAAACTCTGAATCTCTGGCGACGGCAGCGGTTGTGTCTGCGTTTCGGTCACTAATATATTGGTTAACTATTTTGTGACAGTAATTACACGAACGGACAGATCCGCGTGAATTCAATCCAAGAAATTTGGAATCAATTTCTTGATCACAACATTTGGTACAAAATATCTGACCGCAGATCCGGCAGTGATGTCGGCGTCTAATTGTCGTAAACTTATCGCCGCATTCATAACACTCTTTGGAGTTCATGTCTGACATCCAACCTATTCTCTCCTCCTCTCCAGACATCTTAAATCGTTTGCGGATCCGTTTGACCAATAAATTGATGTATTTATTGTTATTATTGCCCACAATATCATTGTTTGAAGACTCGGTTGACACACAAGAAGTGCTATCATTGATGACATCAATTGATTCATTTGTTACACTTTTTGTGCTATCACTTGATGACCAATTGAAGACCCTCTTTGGCCACCAACTCATCCCTGAGCTCTTTTGTGAACTCATTTCATCGTTCAAGTATTGATAATCAATTGATCCAATGATAAGACATATTAATCAATACAAACAATAATTACTTCAAACATTTGTTTATTGCATTCAATAATTGCTTTCAATTATAACTGCCATTAAAATGCACTTTAAATTCACTGTTTGTTTACTTATTAAGTGACAGTAAATAACATATGATTTTAGTGCTAAATAACGTCAATTAATGAGAGACTCTAATGTTTGGACAAAACATTAAACACAACATATATTTTGTTGAACCCAATGGTCATAGTATTGACGTCATTGATGGCTATAATATTGAYACACATGTGGATCAAATGTGTGGTAAAGATGACGACAATAATCATATGATTAGTGATTGATTTGTTTGACTTTTGTATAGTCTTTTAGTTGATTATCACCGCAAACAATGTCAGTCATAACAAACACTACATTCAAATGTTTGTTACCAATTGGTCGTCATTTGAATGGACAGTCCATCAGATGTTATGACTCAACTGTACCACCAATTCGTGTCTTTGTTAAGGTTTGTTTGTTTTTGACAATTGTTTATCAATTGTTTGTCAACGACTGGTATATATTAAGACGATTTGAATGGTTTTTAGGATCGTTTTAAACATTTTGTGGACAGTTTACGAATAAAAGTCACCGGAGGTCCCGGTGGTCACGGATTACCTAAATTTGGCGGAATAGGCGGTAAAGGCGGTAATGTCTTTGTGGAAGCAGTCGATGGCATTAAACTTAAAAAAATCAACGAAAAAATCAAACAATTTAAGGGACAGTCGGGAGAAAATAGTGCTCACTATAGAGTCATTGGCAAAGACGGTGCCGATTGTGTGATCAAAGCACCGGTCGGTGTGACTATTATTAATGAAATGGGAAGAAAATTGGGTGAATTGGATAAAGTGGGCGATAAAGTGTTGGTAGCTTTAGGTGGACCGGGAGGTAATGTGAAGAATAATTTTTGTGGTCTTAAGGGACAAAAACAGATCATCACATTAGACTTGAAACTAATAGCTGACTGTGGATTTGTAGGCTTTCCAAATGCTGGAAAGTCTTCATTATTGAAAGCAATATCAAGAGCTTCACCAAAGATAGCTAACTATCCATTCACTACAATCAACCCAAACATAGGAGTCATGCAATTTGATGATATGAGACAAATAAGTGTTGCAGACTTACCCGGTCTGGTGGAGGGCGCGCACATCAACATCGGTTTGGGACATAAGTTCTTGAAACACATTGTAAGGACAAAACTACTTGTCTTTGTTATCGATATCAATGGATTCACATTTAGACCCGAATGGCCTCAAAGGACACCATTAGATACATACTTATTATTGAATCGAGAATTAGAACTATTCGACGACACTCTTCTCAATAAACCTGCAATTCTTGTTGTGTCTAAAATTGATAATAAAAAATGTATAGAAAACTATGAGATATTTGTTGATCAACTTAAAGATTTTAAAGAAAATAATAGTAAAAATTTGATTAATGATATGAAATCAAATAAATTTATACATTTTGATAAAATAATAGGCGTTTGCTCTAAAAATGGATATAATATACCAGAACTTAGAGATATTATAAGAAATATAATTGATTATAATTGTGAACTAAATAATTTTAAAAACAATCAATTAATAACTTATCAGTCAATTGAGACAAATAGACAAAAGATTAATGATATTGAAAATGATGTGCTTTTGATTTAAAATTATATTTTATATATAATAAAATTATTTAAATTGTTTAAACTTGATATTAAATAAATTTATTAACAATTTCTAAAGTGYTTATATTTCTTAAATATATTTGATATTATTATAGTATTTATTATAATAAGTTTTATCGAATATTTTTTGTAGTTTTTGTAACATTTAAAAAAGTTTTACCCGTTGTTTGAAAATAATACATAATATGTTCGCAAACTATTTGATAAATATTTAATGCATTGTCTTTTGGAATCACTCTAAACAAGCAATTGTTTCAATTCGTTGTTATTTTTGTGTCACTAATAGTCACAATCAGGGTTTTAAATGTGGTTGACATAAACAATAGATGCCAATTTTGCCAATTTTGCCAATTTTGCCAATTTTGCCAATTTTGCCAATTTTGCCAATTTTRCCAATTTTRCCAATTTTGCCAATTTTACCAATTTTACCAATTTTGCCAATTTTGCCAATTTTGCCAATTTTGCCAATTTTGCCAATTTTGCCAATTTTGCCAATTTTRCCAATTTTRCCAATTTTGCCAATTTTRCCAATTTTACCAATTTTGCCAATTTTGCCAATTTTGCCAAATGCCTTCCATGCCTCTGCCATACCCTGGGCATCTATTTTCAGGTGATGACACCTATTACTATGATTTTATATTATTTATTTATTTATAAAACATTGTTTTATCTATATTGATATATTTGTTTTGTATACCTTTAATTAAAAGGTAATATCATTGGAAATAAGTATATTAATTGTAAATTTAATTAACACGCTAAAAACAAGTAAATTACATTATTTTTATAAATACAGTTGCTTTTTAGCAATTTAATGTGGCAGGCAAATAAAATAGATGCCCAAAATGCCAGGCATTTATGGCATCTATTTGGGCATTGCCAGGGCAGGCATTTATTTACTTAAAACCCTGGTCACTAACACCCTGGATAATATAAATTGTACTCAAATCATATGTTAGTGTTTATTAGAGTTGAAAAAATGTTTTACCATTAGTATTATAAATAAATACTTTATAATTTATTAGAAAATATCTTATAAATTTTGTATCTTATTTATTTATTTATCTTATTTGTATAAATTAATCTATTGTATTAAACTATACAATACGCTTTGGTTTATACAAACTTTGTGCTACTGTCAACCTTAGTTTTTATTAATTATTATATATTTATTTAATATATTTATTATATACCTATATTATATATCTATTTAATATTTAATTATTATATATTTATTAATAAAACATTTTAAAACCGAAGTTATTTTTTTTGTAAACTATATATTTATTATTAGATTGAAACTGAGATAACGTTTTGCATGGCTTTACTGCTTTGCATGGCATACTCTGAGTATTACACTAATAATAAACTTAAAATTAATATACTGTAAATAAAATTCATAGATATTTTAATTATATAATAATAATAATATTTTTACTTCAATTTCCTTTTTTATGTTTTAGGATATATAGTATTACCGGTTATACTGTACTATAAATTACAATTTAATATTATACAGATATTTTATAATTAGGGTTTTGGCTAATTTTCCAATGAGGAAAACATAAATAAAAATTGTTTATCTTTGAAAAACAATATAAATATTTTCCGCTTTTGGGGCTAAAATATATAAGAGTTAAACTAAAATATATAAAATTCTTTATTTATTATTTATTAATTAAACAGATTTCAGAAACTTAATTATTGAATATGTTATTGAATTATTATATATATTACATAACTGTTATGTTATAACGTACAGTATTTATATACAATTGTAGTGTTAAAAAAACCAAGGTTAAGTTTAAAAATAAATATATTTCATACACTATTTACAAATCAATAAATGTCAAAATAATAATTTTAATTTATAAAATGTATAACAAACGTATATTTTTTATAGATTTGTTTAGAAAATATATATAAAAATTAAATTTTTGTAATTTTAATATTGATTTATCTTTGTGTCGACAAAATATATTTATTTTCTAAACATATATTTTTTTTGGTGCCATTCAACTGATATTATTTTGTTAGATTGACACACATATAATACAATGTGCTATTAATTTAAATTAAATAATCAATAAATTAATTTAAATGTACTGCACGTATGTCGCTATTCCCTTTGCAGTCAAACTAATCAATGATAACAACATATTGAACAAACAATTTTTGAAAGAGAGTGACTCTATTTGTATGAATCCGTGTTATGTGTGTTAGTGTGCAAATAGAGAAGAGAGAGCACCGGGAGATCAGTGGGAGTAGACTACTTGGGGAGCGTTTCTGTGGTGATAGGTATCAGTGAAGCGAAGGCAACACAAGAGTTGATGTCTTATTTAATCAATGGCTGTRATTGTTATTCATCTTAAAGCGCAACCATTTTTATATTGATTGCTTAATATTGTTGCCTTTTGGCTATACTTTAATACAACCAATAAATGAATTGTTGGATAATTATCAAAACCCAATTGAATAATGATTGACAATAATTTAATTGTAATGCATATGAAAAACTGTTTTTTAAATGCGATATTTTGCAATTTGTTGGCACTATATATACCTATATATAACTATATATATATCTATAAATTTCTATAAATTATGTGTTTTACAAACTTTGCAAAAGCTTTGAATCTTTAAAGAAACCATTAAAATGTGGTCTCCGGTTCAGGCATTGAATGTATCGTCTAATTATGGTAAAGGATCTCCTGTTTCCCGCTGTAAGCATGCCATGTGTGTTGCACCCGATGGTCACATATATCTCTATGGCGGCCGAAGCGCTAATTTGCCGCTTAAAGATTTGTGGCGTTTCGATGCCGGACAGAACCAATGGGAAGAAGTAGAGTGCAGAGGACAGCATCCACCTAATCTTCAGGAGCACACTATGATTGCCTGGAAGAACAAACTTTATGTATTTGGAGGAGAAATTGGATTCTCGTCAAGTGGTGAGACACCTCTTTGGATATTGGATTTGTCGACAACAACATGGAATAAACACGCCTTAAATCAATTACCATCAACTTCACCATCAGTGGCGCCAACAGGAAGAAGAGGGCATACGACTATTTTATATGGCGACGCAATGCATATTTATGGAGGTTATCAGGATCTGCACGGATCGTCATCTGAATTGTGGACATTTGACTTCATAACAGAACAGTGGCACCTATTAAGCAGTCCGTCCTCATCACAAGATCATCCGCCACCCAGACATAGTCACTCAGCTGTTATGCATAATAACTGTCTTTATATTTTTGGTGGAATGACTGATCTGAATGTGAGATCAGACTTTTGGAAATGGGATTTTGCAAAGCGTCGGTGGTTTCGTATTAAAGCTAACAAAGGCCCGGGAGATCTGTACGGACACACAGCCATCGAGGCTTTCAACTCTATGTTTGTCTTTGGAGGCGAAAGATCTGGTACTCTATTGAGAGACTTATGGAGATTTCATTTCGATAGCGAGCACTGGGAACGTATCAATGCTGAGGGCATTATTCCGAGCTCTCGGTGTCGACATGTGGCCATTCCCAACCCATTTATTGATATTATTGAAGACAGTCATAATAATACTAATAATAACATCAATAATAATAATAGAAAACATAATAAAATACTTCGTTTGAGTTCAAAATCTAATTGTATATCAAGTTTACAAAATGATAACAAAGTGGTTACTACAGTGAGAGGGCCTACAAAATCTATATCCATGTGCTTTGGACAACCAAATGATACGCCTCTTCATGATAATGTAAAAACAATAAAACCCTTTAAGCTTAAAGTTCATCCAATGCCTGGATTCTGTAGTGGCAGAAGTGCCACACTATCTGATGATGAAGAAGAAGTAGACAATGAGTCTAATAGTGTTAGTAATGAAAACTTTGGCACAGATTTTGATAACCACACCAATCCGGTGACAATGAGGTAATTAATTAATTATTTGTATTGTATATTATAATGTATAATATATTTACGAATTAATGTATTTTTAATATATAATTTTAAATATTTTTATTTTATTCACTAATTAAATGATTAAAGAAAAAGTCTAAAAGACAAGATATCACGGAGTCGTCTCGTCAGAAGCTTATCGACAAATAGTTATAATATATTACATCAAAACATTATCTCAAATGAAGATCTTAAGGATGATTTGGAAAAATTAGTGGAAGAGTCGACACCAGAGATGCAGAGATTAAATGGCATTTTAACGAATAAATCAGATGGAAATTATTACAGATTGAATACACGGACAAAACTACCGAAATCTATCAGTTCTAACGCTGTCTTAGAGTCAGACAGTGAGTCTTCCACTCCTCAACGCCACTCAAACCGTCCACTTTCTGAAGTAATACAAAGCCAAACCCCTGTGGAGGACGATATCAATAATCAGATGTGGATTAAGAGACGCAGTGTTCACGAGTCGATGTCATACTATAGTCTTTGCTTTCCAACGCCTCCTAATCTGAGTAAAAGCAACTCTGAGACGTCCACCACTTCTATTGATAACAATCCCGGACATCAATTGCGGAACCGATTAATACCGTCAAGTTTTGACAAAAATCTATTAGAATTTGACGAAGATTTAGATAATTTACAGCTAATTGGAAACATTCGTCAGATCGACAATAAAAGTCTTTCTCCGGAAGATAGTATAAACACATCCAACACTTCGACCTCTACTCCACTTATAGAATTGGATGATCAAAACGCCAATATTATGACTATTTCATCACCAGTTGAATGTCAGCCAAAGTCAAGTGGTTTTAACTCATCGCTAACTCTTTACACACCGAGTGTTGATAGTAGAGGTATACCTCATTCAGTGTCTCACAGCTCGGGTTATCAATCGTTTACTGACGAAGCCATCTATGATCACAAAGAATTTGCCGGTACTTTGCAAACATCTACTCTTCCTCGAAGAGTTATGTCTGCCCGACAAACAAGAGATTTAATGGAACTAAAGAATCTAAGCGCAAAACTATCGGATCAATTGCATAACCAAATTGCAGAAAATGGTTCCGTATTACCGGTCACACTAAGAGCTGGTCTTATGACTAAAGAGAATCGTGAGAACAGAGCCCGTTCTTGGGATAGAGTGTCCAGAAGAGAGTCATTTGTTAGAGGAAATATGACACCCGGATGTGATAACAGGATCTCATGGCAACCAAATATTAATGTTATCAAAGAAGTGGTGGTTCCCGGCTCTCCTGCTAGTCATAAGTGGTCATATAGTCCGGCAAAAACTAAGGCACACCAACATCACTGGCAACTCTGTATGTATATATTTGGTGGTAAAGAAAAAGGCATTACTGGTGTCTATAAACAACCGATGACTGTCTGGAAGTTTTATATCTGATAAATACTATATTTTATCATTAAATGTCAATTTACATCATTTATTCAATTAATTTGTTAAAACACTGATACACTTAAAATTTTACAAAATATTCATCAAATCATTTTTGTAAATTAATAATCACTTATAATAGTCAAACTATTATTTTTAAACAAATTTGCATATATTGAATATATATATTGAAACAATACAACGCCAATATATAAAATAATTTATAATATACCTGAATATCACCCAATATTGATAATGTTTAAACTGGTGCTTTAATATCATCTTTCATTTCAATATAATACTGTCATAATATAAACATCATATTAAACAATATATTAATTTTTATATATGATGTAATACAGTATTAATCTGTATTTTTCATAATATCTAATTGAATGTACAAAAAAAATGTTTGACTACCAAAAAATATAATACTGTATACACAAAGCAAATAAGATTTTGCAAAATTTATGATATTATTCTTCACAATAAGTTATGATTATATAAAAACTATTATATACAGTATATAATTTATATATTTATTGCAATAACTTATTTGAATTTTAGTGCAATTAACCTATTATTTATAGTTTTATAAATAATATGGTTTATAATTAGTGCAATATTCGTCATACAAATAGTTAAAATTTATTTTAAATCAATGTTATAGTCATTATTTTATGATTAGTTAGTTTAGTAATCTAAATACAATTTTGTATTATTAACCCAATGTTGTACATTGTATATCATTTAATCTCAAATAATTGTCAATATATTTATACATTAAGTTGTATTTCATTTGACATTTCAATTTTATGTGATAAAACCAAGTTTTTTTAATATTATAAATACCGGTAATAAAAACAATTATCTATTAAATTAAAAAATAATTATTATTGCAAACAACAAAAATTATCGCATATTTTGTCCACTACTTTAAAATATAAGATTTGAATACAAAGACATTATTCTACTTTGTTTTCATCAAATATTTGAATATTAAATCAAAATATTAAATAACAGAATCAAGAATATAAAGACATGTTTTGACAATTTGCTGAAAGTAATAATTGTATTGATATTTATATGATTTATCAAACAATTACCGACACATGTTGTGCTACCAGTGCTATAATACCTGTCATTTAATACCTGTTATACATCACTGTCCGTATAACTGGTACTGTAATTATGATACATGTATTTAAATACTGTATAATACGGTAGTATCTTAATCAGGGTTGCTAAAGGTTTTCGATTTCAGGGGGGGTATAGGGGAGGTAAAATGGCAAAAATCTGGAAAAAAGCTAGGGGGTATAGGGGGAGGTAAACATTTTTTATTGCATTTTTAAACGACAATTTTTGCCAAATTTGAGTAAATTCACAATAAATTCCCACTATATTCCCATTAATTCCCTTTAAATTCTCAATAAATTCCAATTATATTCCCATTAATTTCCACTAAATTCCCACTAAATTCCCACTAAATTCCCACTAAATTCCCACTAAACTCCCACTAAATTCCCACTAAATTCCCACTAAATTCCCACTAAATTCCCACTAAATTCCCACTAAATTCCCACTAAATTCCCACTAAATTCCCATTAATTTCCTATAAATTCTCAATAAGTTCTTACTAAATTATCTATAAATTAACTAATAAAAATATTCCAAACTTAATTTCTCAATACTCAAAATGTATTCTAAAATTAATATTCATTTTTACAAAAATTTAAAAAATAAAGAAATGAATAAATATATATATCTCTTTAATTATGATAATTTAATGAAAATACAATTAGTTTTTAAAAAATTACAATTTATAATAACGTCTCAATAATAATAATAATATTGTAAGAAATTATTATTAATTAACTCTAAATAATTAATTTAAGAATATATCTTCATATAGTATTTCATATTGAACCATAACTAACATATTTTAATATAAAGTTTAAAAATATTAAAATATAATTATTTTAAACTTTATGCTAAAAATTTTAGTTTTCGATTTTTAATATGAAATAAAATATATATTATCTTTTATAAAAAGCTAAAAAATAAAATAAAATATTTTGATTATTTTTCTTGAAAATTGGTGGGAATTTATTAGGGAACTTTTTTCCTTGTGGAGTGCCCCAACTCTACTTATATAATATTTATTTATATCATAATTAGTATTTTTAAAGCACATTTTTTGTTAATTAGTAAATAAATAATTATTTTTTATATTTAAATATAAAAACATTTAAGTTTTTATTGTTTTCTAACATAAATTACGATATTATTTAGTGTAAATAATGTTAAATTGATGTAATTAAGTATTTATTTTATATACATAAGCTATTAATTTATATTAAAACTAATTTAATATTTATGTTTTTGTTTAATATAAAATTTAGAAAAGTAGAAAATTGGTAGGGGGCCCCCTAACTTTTTGGCTTCAGGCCAGGGGGGAGGGGGTAAAAACCCAAATTTCTCGATTTCAGGGGGGTAAGAGCTCTTACCCTACCCTACCCCCCCTTTCGCAACACTGATCTTAATAGTAGTTACAAGACAACCATWTATTGATTATTCTATTGAATATTATGTTATTTTTAGTTATAAAAAAGAAAGTTTTAATTGATATAAAAATACAAAATAAATATATAATTAAATATTTGTAACAAATTTCAATATTTAATTAAAATAATTAATTTAATTACAACTAATTTATAGATTTATTTGATATTAATATTAAATTTAATTTCAAATATTTCGCTCTTTTATAGAATTGATGAAAACATTTGTAACTTTTTATAATAAATACTTTAAGCAAATGTGTATAAAAAGGGCTCAAAAATTATATGAATAGATTATCGATTGTATTGAGCTATCGATTAATCGTTTGTTTTGAACGACTCTCTCATTAAGTCTTTTGTCCGCAAATTGTCATCAAATCAATCAATTAATCAGTTATTTGATTATCAGATCCATTGATTGAAATCACATGCAGAGGGCATACCAACCAATGGCCAGTACATCATCAATGATGGCATCACCGGGTGTGGCACCCAATGTTAATCAGCAGATGGCCGGTCAGCCGGTCAACAACACAGCGCAGCCTTCGGGACAACCGCTCCGTAGCCCACATATGCCGCCTCAGAGGATGTTTCAAAGTCCCGCTGGACTGCAATCGTACTCAGGAGTGGCCACACCACCTGTGGTCGGTCAACGATTTCCTCCGACACCACATCACATGCGAATGCCACCAAACGCACCGCCATTTGCTGGTAGATCGATGCCAGCGCCTACACCTCCCGGACCCGTGCAGGCTATGAAGCGATCGGCAACTGCAATGAATGGACCACCGATGGGAGGAATGCCTTCGAAAGGAATTCCAATTGGCTCAATGGGTCCGCCTTCAGGACCGACACATCATTCAAATCAATCGAGTGGATCGTCAAAGAAGAAAAAGAAATTGGCGGACAAGATATTGCCACAAAAGGTTAGAGATTTAGTGCCCGAATCTCAGGCTTATATGGATTTGTTGGCATTTGAACGCAAACTGGATTTCACAATAATGAGGAAACGTCTTGACATTCAAGAAGCTCTTAAACGTCCGATGAAACAGAAACGCAAACTTCGTATCTTTATTTCGAATACCTTTTATCCGGGAAAACCTGAGGGCGATCCCAATGAAGAACCATCAGTGCCGTCGTGGGAACTTAGAGTTGAGGGACGACTCTTGGAAGACCCGAATGCTCCCAAAGCCGATCAAAGCAAACTTAAGCGCAAATTTTCATCATTTTTTAAAAGTTTGGTCATTGAATTGGATAAAGATCTGTACGGACCAGATAACCATTTAGTTGAGTGGCACCGGACACCTGCCACTACCGAAACGGACGGCTTTCAAGTGAAACGCCCGGGAGATAAAAATGTCAGGTGCACTATATTATTGCTATTAGACTACCAGCCCTTGCAGTTTAAATTGGATCCACGTTTAGCCCGACTCTTGGGTATTCATACACAGACACGACCAGTGATTATAAATGCTTTGTGGCAATACATTAAAACACATAAACTCCAGGACCCGCATGAAAGGGAATTTATTAATTGCGACAAATATTTGGAACAAATATTTCAATGTCAACGCATGAAATTTGCTGAAATACCATCACGTCTTCATCATCTACTTCACCCGCCCGACCCTATTGTCATTAATCATCTGATTAGTGTCGAAGGTCCTGACATGAAGAAGACCTCTTGTTATGACATCGATGTTGAGGTTGACGACCCCTTGAAGATTCATATGAATAACTTTTTACTATCGACTGCAAGTCAACAGGAGATCCAATCTCTTGATAACAAAATTCATGAGACAGTTGAGACAATAAACCAATTGAAGACTAATCGTGAATTCTTCCTAAGCTTTTCGACAGATCCGCAACAATTCATCAATAAATGGCTTATTTCTCAAATGAGAGATTTGAAGGTATTGATCAACAATTCATTAATATTATGTATTAACTCTTTTTCATATTTTTAACAGACAATGACTGACCAAATTGGAAATCCAGAAGAAGAGAGAAATTCTGATTTTTTCTTCCAGTCGTGGACTCAGGAGGCAGTCTGTCGTTACTTTTATGGTAAAGTTCAGCAAAGAAGGGCTGAATTGGAACAGGCGTTGGGTATTAGAAACGCATAATTGATATCATTTTATCATTATTTACATTTAATATTGTTTATATCGTTTAACTGCCGGTAATTTAAAAATTATCGAAAATCATTGACTTTATATTTATTGTATTTCTATTTTAATTGTAATAATTCTATAGAACCGGTAAATCCTTTTTAAAATAAAATATTTGTTTTGTATCTATTTGTACTGTACTAATGACTTGAACTCATGTCTGTTATACTGTATATACAATCGGATTTAGAGATAATATTTGCAATATCACCAAATGTGTAGTACATCAACACTTACAACTAGAGTGACCAACCGTCACGTATTGCTCTTAAACTATTTCAACAAAACATTTTAACTGCATTTTCTAATATATATCTATTTTTGATATTTATGTTAAAAATAGATTACCGGTAGATAATTTTTAAAGTTGTGAACAATTTTGTAAATAATACATCAAATACTTTATAACATTTTAATGAAATGTAACGTTAATTACGGTATTTTTGAAAACATATACAAAATCATTTGATTATATAAGTACCGTAAAAACTAATGATTAAAATGATTATCAAAATATTTGTAATTAAATTTGATTTAAAATTTTTTGACAAATCGGGAACTTTATTGAGAATTCTGTAAAAACTCTTGAGAGCGTGTGTTCAGTTAGTTTGGGATCAATTCAGACGATATTTTAACTCAAGACTTGTTGTATGTCTTGTCATTAGTTCCAATAATTGATAATTATTTTCTATATTTATAAATATCTTATTCATTCATTTAGTACTTAAATTTATTGATATTCTGTATGAAATGATATAKTTTTTGACTACTAATAAATGACAATTTAAGAAAACAATATATTATTAATTAAATGATAATTTTATTCAATGATAGAGTAATAATTAAAAAACCAAAATATACTAAATATTAATTAAAGTATACATTTCATCACTACATCTATAAAATATTATCAGTTATTCAATTTGATGAAACATAAAATATATTAATACACAGTATATTAGATGAAAATGCAATTCAAATCTTCAAATATTAACAAAACTGTTATTGAATGCCAAAAAAGTTTGTATCACTGAAGAGGTCGGCGCCCGTCTGTTTTGCTTTGATTTTAGCCTTTTGTATGTCTTCATCGGTCACATTGTGGTCAATATCTTCTCCATTCTTAAACTTTTCAATTATACTGTCGGCAAGCGTTGCATTAAATAGATCTCTGGCCGTAAATGCAGACTGTGTTATGTCTGGACATCGATAGGACACATATGGTTTGAGATGAAAGTCTTGTAAATCGGGAACAATTATTTGTGGCTCCATTTCCTTGACATAAACAAACTTTCCTTTAAACCAATAGCCGGGCCATCGGATAAACAATGTGTCCCTAAAGACAGGATAATCAAACTCTTTTTCAAGCAATGGCTTCGGTAGTCTCGGGTGTTCAAACTGTCCCCTTTTGTTTGGGACCATAAATCGTCGGAAGTTTCGGACATCCAATCGACTGCTYGTATGAAAACCAGTTGTCTGTCTGTATAATCCACTGACCAACCATTTAGACAACAATTGATTTGTATGACATCGGGTGACCATTTTGTAGGTCATTATATACTTTAACTGTTAGATTAACACAAATATTGACCACTTTTTTGATAATTTGGTCACAAATAACAATCACATGTCTTGTGTTTACAGATTCAACAAATCATTCATTTATTACGTGACGAGTAATACAATCATATGTTTTGTTGAGTTTGTGTTGAGTTTGGGATCAATTAATTGACTTAAAAACTGAACCATTTTTTGTATTATTGGATCAATTAGTGACACTAATGATGACAATCTGTAAGTTTTATGTCAATGGCTTTTGTCGTTACGGCAATAATTGTCGTTTTGAACACATCTCTGACACTAATCATTGTAAGTATTGTAATGGACTTACCGTTTGATCACTTGATGTGATAATTGTGTCCATTTCATAGATTACCACAAAAATTATCAACGATTTGATGGCAGACAATCAAATCAGTCTTTGGGCACAAATAAAGTTGGCTTTAGTTTCAACAAAACATTTGATAAGATCACGAATCAGCCAAATATGACAACTGGTTCTGTGTTTAGCGGACAACGGTTACAAATGAATAGCAATTCTTCAAATATAAGACCAAATGAGACATCTATGACCTCTCCTTTTGCAAGAAATTCTTTTCAATTTGGAAACACAACACCTGTGGCCACACAAAGAACGGGTGGATTTAGTTTTAATAAAACTCTGCAACAGATCTCAAACAATGACGGACAACATATTGATGACACAGACATGGAGTCCGTTCCAGTGATTGTCACTCAACAACATTCTCGGCCACAGATGATTGCCACACATGAGTTACAAATGGACTCAAATTTAGGTTTCATTAACCAATCAAATGTTAATCAAATGACTAAAATATCACCAAAAATAAGTTCAAATGTTAACCCAAATGCCATTTCACAGAATTTGATTAACTCATCGGTTAAATCAAATGATGAGATCTATTCTAAAGAAAGTGATTTATCTTTAGATAATTTGAGACAATTTGAATGCAATTCATTTAGCTTTAAATCTATACCCATATGTCCTCCGCCACAGAGCTTATGCTTTTGATTTGTTAAAACTTATTAATCGTTTTGTTTGTATTATTATTTGTTTTATTCATTGATCATTCAAATGTTCATAAAATTTATTAAAAAATTGGTTCAAAATTTACTAAATTATAAACTTAGTAATGATTTACTATTTTATCAATTTATGTTTTACATACATTTCATTTGCAACAAAACTAAAATTTTTAGATTACGGTAAATCAAAATTATAGTAATATTGTATAAAATTTTACGACAAATACATAATTATTGGTTTCTTGAGTATCAAATAATACTGTATTAATAATCATTACTAATAAGACATATTGTAATAGATAATTAATTATTTACAATAGTGTTATAATAATTGTATTTATTGATTATATTCGTATAATTTATATAAGATATGGAGTTATTATTTATTTTGTTGCATAAGTTGTTCCGATAACCACTCGATGCCATCCATGAGTCCATCTCCTGTCACAGCATTTGATGCCTAATTGAGATAATGTTTTATATTTTTTAAAATGTGAAAAACAGTTAGATTTACCTGTATATGCCAGGCTTTATTCTTAAGCTGATCCAAACCAAGTGTTTGGCTTATTTTAACGCTTGAAAGGGCTTCTTTTAAATCCATTTTATTAGCAAAGAATAATATGGGAATCAATGGTTTGCAGGCAATGTCTGCGTGTTTTAACATCATCTCGAGTTCGTCTTTGGCCACAACTAATCGYAAAGAGTCGGAACTGTCGATCACGAATATAATGCCTTCGACACCTTTATAGTAATGTTCCCATAAGTTTCTGTATCTTCCCTGACCTGACATATCAAATGCAGTAAATGTTAAATTTTTAATCTTAAACTTTTCAACATTAAATCCAACGGTTGGCACGATTTCATTAGATTTTTCTTCGGGTGGCTTAAAATGATTCATTATAGTTGTCTTTCCGCTGTTATCCAAACCAACCACTAATATATTTGCCTCCCGTTTCTTGAATCCCAATAATGTTAATAATTTTGTGAAGAATGCCATTCAATAGATTTTACTTTATATATAGTGTTAACTAAATTAATATTAAAGTTATTTCAATTATGTGAATCACTTTTCAATGATATTCAACAGTAAATCATGTTTTTGTTTAACTTTTGCTAATTTTTTTGGTTGTCGTTGGAAACAGTTTTACCAAATATTTCTAACAAATGTCTACAATGTTGCAGAATATTCTGTGAAAATGATTGCAAATTTGTTATTCAGAATTAAAACCTAAATAAATAAAATTATTTATTAAATATTTTTTAAAATATTGTATACTTGATTAAATATCTGACATTTGATTTAATTTCAAATATAAAGGTATAAAATTAAAATAAACATTTCAAACAAATACAGTAATTACATTATTTATTATTTTCAAACAAATTGTTAAAAATTATTAAACAAAATATAATGTAAATTAAAATAAATGATAATTTAATTATAAGTTTGGTTGACATCGGATGAGATTTTTGCAATATTGTGGTCATAGAAGTTGTTATTATTTTTGTTTTATTTAATCTATAAGTATACCAAATGATTCAAATAAGACATTTTTATATTAAAATTATTTTTATAGATATTTATATAAATATTTTACCCAATATCAACATCTTTTAAATTTAAATTATTATTAACACTTTGTTCTCCAATAATAAAAGTTATTAAAATTGCAAAAGTTATGATAAAAAGATAAACATTTAGATAAGTACTCATTATTTTATAAATCTATTTGAAAAGACAAATTCAAATTTATTTTATAAACGATTTTATTATTTTCTAAACTTTACATAATTTTGAATTTAATTGTTTAATTTATTATCATTTATTGCTATGATTTTCAATAATGAGTTCTAAATATAATTAAAATATATTATAATTGAATAATTTGTAATTTGTATTTATATATTAAATAATTATTAGTTATATTTTTTACAATTAATATATTAAAATAATCCAATTTTATTATCTAATATATTATTAAAAGTAAAAAATTATCGTAAAGTTTGGCCAAATGTATGCAATTTGAAGATATTTTGTGACAATAGATGTCAGTAATCATTGAAATGAATGTTAACTTAATTTTCAATACATTTATTGTGTATTTTTTGAGCCGACTTTCAATTGATTGAATTCATTGATTTGATTATCAATTCAATTGGTATCGACTTTACAACAATTTAAACACATTTCACACATAATTGACAACAAAATACATGAATAGATTTGATGGAAAAAAATCATTGAATTGATTATTATTTTTGCAAAACATATCACAAGTCATACATTTGTCATAGTTTTTGGTCAGAAAGTGAATGTCAACGATATGTCCATTTGATATGATTGTCGCAGATCTCCAACTAATTATAAAACATCTACTTTTGAATACAATTTGTTGTTTTATTAGTGGATCAGTTAAAACCAATTAGTTAATAGCAATCATGACATCTATAATCCGTTTTGAGGCCATTAGTGGTGTCCTCGATGACAGTCCGCCGTCATATTTATTACAAGTGGATGAGTTTCGGTTTCTTCTTGACTGTGGTATCGATGAGATGTTTAGTGAGTCTTATTTGACAGAACTGGCGAAACACGTGAAACAAATAGATGCCGTCCTTATATCACATCCCGACGCCCAACACTTAGGTATAACTGTTTGTTGATTTGATTTTGATGTCCATTGATTGTTATCATTGATAAATAGGATGTTTACCATATTTGGTGGGAAAGTGTGGTCTTAACTGTGAGGTATACGCCACGACTCCCGTCTATCTGATGGGACAGATGTTTATGTATGACTTGTATCAGTCGCGACATAATTACGAAAACTTTGATTTGTTTACTTTGGATGACGTGGACATGGCTTTCGACAAAGTAATTCAAGTGAAGTATAACCAAACAATTGCACTTAAAGGTAAAGGTCAGGGAATAGCGATCACACCGTTAGCCGCCGGACATATGATTGGCGGAACCATTTGGCGTATTGTTAAAGACGGCGAGGAAGACATTGTCTATGCAGTTGACTTCAATCATAAGAAGGAACGGCATCTCAACGGATGTGTTTTAGAAACTATTAGTAGACCTTCACTATTGATTACCGACGCCTATAACGCCAACTATTTTCAAGAGCGTCGCCAAAAACGGGACGAACAGCTTATGACTAATATATTGGGAACACTTAGAAACAGAGGCAATGTTTTGATTGCTGTGGATACTGCTGGCCGTGTGCTTGAGTTGGCCCATATGTTGGACCAGTTATGGCGCAACCAAGAGTCGGGATTAATGACCTATTCGTTAGCACTTTTGAATAATTTTAGTTATAATGTGATTGAATTTGCAAAATCATTAGTCGAGTGGATGAGTGATAAATTAATGCGATCTTTTGAAGGCCAACGTAATAATCCTTTTCAATTCAAATATCTTCAATTGTGTCACAAATTTTCAGATTTAGAACGAATTCCTGAACCACGAGTTGTTCTCGCGTCGCAACCAGACTTAGAGTGTGGTTTCTCTCGCGACTTATTCTACAATTTGGCCACAAATCCAAAGAACTGTATTATTCTCACTCAACGATGTTCTTCATATACATTAGCTCATCAATTGATGAACAATCTAAAGGATGAACGACTTATCACTTTAGAGATTAAACAAAGAATACCTCTAAAAGGGTCGGAATTAGAAGAATATCGACGTCAAGAGAGTCTTAAGAAAAGTAAATTGATTGATACGATTGATGCTTCAGTCGAAGGAGAATCAGATTCTGATTCAGACGATAACATTGAAAGTGAAGAAGACGATGATGTCATGGAAGTGGACGGAATGGTTAGTAAAAGTCCAATTACTGGCGGTTATTCTGCTGGTGTTGGATCAGCTCAGAGTCATTCAAGTGCTGTAAAACACGACCTAATGATGCCTAAAAATGAGGGTAAAGTTAAAGGAGGCGGGTTCTTTAAACAAGCTAAAAAATCATACCCCATGTATCCATCTCATGAACGTAAGATTAAATGGGATGAATATGGAGAGATCATTAGACCTGAAGATTATATGATCTTTGATATGGTCGGCACTAACACAAATCAAATGGGCGAAGAAGAAAATAAAGAAAACGTCAAGAAAGACGGAACCGATGAAAGTGTGGTCGAAACACAAGAAATACCTACAAAATGTGTTGTTAATGTCCAGTCGTTCAATGTTCACGCAAGCGTTCAATACATTGACTTTGAAGGTCGATCTGATGGTGGATCCATTCAGAAGATTATTTCGATGATAAAACCACGTCGTCTTATAATCGTTCGCGGATCTGCTGATGCAACAGAATCTTTGGCTAAGTATTGCGAAGAATCGGGTTGTGTTTCCGATAAAATATTTGTACCCAAACTCTTTGAAACTGTTGACGCAACCACTGAAAGTCACATCTATCAGGTGAAGTTAAAGGACGCATTGGTCAGCTCTCTTTCCTTTGCTCAGGCAAAAGAAGGGGCTCAGTTGGCTTGGGTTGAGGCTGAGATTGAGATGACTCAAGTAGAGTCACTTTTGCCACAAAAAGAATCAGACAATTCAGACGAATTGACAAAAGGTGGTCATCTATTAGATGATTCAGATGAAGGAATGGGTGGTCGCGAATTACTTCCAACATTAAGGCAATTACCAACTAATCAAATACCATCTCATCCGACCATTTTTGTCAATGAATTGAGATTATCGGACTTCAAGCAAGTATTGATGAAGAACGGCATTCAGGCCGAGTTCTCAGGAGGTGTTCTCTATTGTAACAATCAGGTCGAAGTCAGGCGCAGTGAGTTCGGGCGCATACACCTCGAGGGCACCCTTTCCGATGATTACTATAAAGTTAGAAAATTACTATATCAACAATATGCTGTTATCTAATTTGTTTGTATAAATCATTGTTTTTGAATTTATTGTTAAACATTTAATTTATTATTTAATTGAAATATTTTTTGAGATTAAATTAAATGTTTATTTTTCAACATTGTATTCAATATTTAAAAATATTTAAAATTTATAAACTAGTTTTTTATAATATATTTAAAAAAAAATTGACGTCTATTATCAATTATAAGATATATAATAAAATTGTAAAATTATATCATTGCCATTAAAACAACATTTTATTATATTATGTTTCATTAAATATTGATATAAAATAAATTTCTTATTTATATTGAAATCTTGTTATTTATTATCAATTGATTTATTTATTTGCAAACTAATCAATATTAATGCCCAATAATTGGCTCTTATTCTTTAATATTTATTCAGTTATAAACACTTGARTTATTAGTAAATTTATCAAATTTTGTATTTTTTAATTTTTAATTTTGATATGTTTTTAAAATTAGATTTTCATTGTCATATATTACCCGAAACATGGCCCGACTTGGCTCAGGTTTGTTGAAAGCATGTCTTAATAAATAAAGTATTAATCAAATGTTTTATCGATTTCTATAAAAGAAATTTGGTTACAAGGGTTGGGTGCATATGCATCATACAGATGATGGTAAAGCACTTATGATGAAAGATGACGGAATTGTTTTCAGACCCGTTGATCATAAAGTTTGGTCCACACGTGTGCGTCTCGYAGATATGCAACAGACTGGTATACTAATAAGATTTGTTATATTTAAACTTATTTATTATTATTATTTTTTGAAATTTTTATAAAACTATAAATATATTATATCTGTAATACAATGATGTAAAGGAGTTGCTGTACAAGTGTTGTCTACTGTTCCCGTAATGTTTAGCTATTGGGCCAAACCAAGTGATACGGCTTACTTGAGTCGACTATTAAACAATCACTTGGCTTCAGTGGTGAGAAACAATCCATCGAGATTTATAGGTTTAGGTACAGTTCCTCTTCAATCACCAGAATTGGCCGTCGAAGAGATGAAACGATGCAAATATGATTTAAATCTAAACGGAATTATTATTGGAAGTCATGTGAATGAGTTAGGTCTTGACGATCCTTCATTTGATCCAATTTGGAAAACTTCTGAAGATTTAAATCTTCCTATATTTCTACATCCGTGGGATATGCAAATGAGCAGACATTTTGCCAAATATTGGTTGCCATATATTGTGGGAATGCCGGCCGAAACATCAGCTGCTGTGTTGGCTATGATTTTTAGTGGTGTTTTGGAGCGATTTCCGAGATTGAAAATAGCGTTAGCACACGGATCGGGAATGTTACCATATATTATAGGACGGGCAGAGCATGGCTTTCATGTATATCCAGCAGATTTTAAAGATAATCCTTTCCCGCCATCAAAATATTTATCGAGAATATATTGCGATTCTTTAGTTCATAATGAAGATGCACTCAAATTGGCCATCAATTTATTTGGAGAAGTACTGTATTTTAATATATTTTATTTAAATTGACATAAAAAATATAATGAATTAATAATTATTGTGAATTCAGGACCAAGTGTTTCTTGGAAGTGATTATCCATTTTTGTTGGGTGAGCCMWCCCCTGGCCTTATCATAGAAAAAAGTCAATTGAATGATGTGTTGAAACGGAAACTTTTGAGTGAAAATGTTTGTAAATTCCTCGACATTGATGTCAATCAATATTCTGTTTGGATTTGAAGCCAAAGTCTATTTCTTTTCTCTTATCATAATTTTTTATCAATTATTTTGATAAACCTTTTTATTGATTAGTTTTTATCKAAAACTTGTTATTGAAATTGGATGACTAAAAGATTACTATAATATATAATATTTTAAATATAATTTTAGTACAATTTTAATAAATATCTAATATGTTATTAAATATCCATTTGTTTATGCATTCATCCATCTTTTTCATACATTATATCCATTTATTAAATTAAATATTTTAATATCATTTTTAATGTATTGTGATATATAATTCATAACTTGCATTAAAAGACAACAATTCAACAAAAAGTAATGTATGTTTTGCTCAGTTTTATCACTGAGTGAATAACTCACGAGATAACTACAAAAAAAATATTAAAAAAGTMAAAATATAATTTTAAAAATCGCATTAAACATCATTTACCCTAAAATGTTTGTATTTAGTAATTAAATGATAGAAAATGAATTATAATAGCAATAATAGTGATATAAAAATGACGACAAAAAGCAAGTTAACCAAAAATAAGAGAAATGTAAGAGTGAGAGGTGTTGGGAGTAAACTGACAAAAACGGGTTCATTTGAAGACTTCAGCAAAGATCTGGCCATTTATAAGGCTCAACGATATCACAAACGAATTATTACATTAAGAAAAGCTATTGTAATGTTATGTATATTATTGTTGTATTTGTGTACAGGAAATGTGGTCGCATTCATCACAATCATCATTACTGACCAATTTGTCATTCATCTTCATATAACTGGTCTCATCTATAATATAATGATAATTGTAGCCATAATTTTGTTTGACTTAAGTGTCAGAAAAAAATCATTGACTTTAAATAAGATATTCTTAATAATTATGATTTTCTCAATGATATCAAGTGTTTTGGTTATTGGAGTGTTTGTTTCATATTATTTAGCCATACAGTCCTATCGAAACTATATAAACCAYAGACTCATACAATTATCGGTCARTTTTCATATATCCGATTTCATTATCTCTATTTCGCTATTTATTATATATTTAGCAATAATTATATTAGTATGTGTTTTAAGACAAACTATTTTTGAATACAAAACATATATAAATATAAGTGTTAAAGAAACATCAAAACAAGTTTGAATTAGATAATATTTTTAAAAATTATTATTATATATAAATTTATATTAAAGGACAAACTAACAAATAAATAAAATTATCTATTATTTTATGACAATATTCTTATACTAAATATTAAATTAAAATATAACAAAACATTTATTGTTTTTTTTCTGTTTATTAAAGAATTGCGTGAATTTACAGAATTAAGTCAAACAAATATATCGTTCATTAGGAATGTTCACTAAAACAGGGCGTCTCTTATAAACTCATATCTTGTATATAATAACTGTTATAACATTAGCTTATATTTCAAAAAATTATTATAAAATATGTTTTCGGAAAAAATATTTAAAATTTAATAAATGTTTAAATACTAGTGTTTAGTAATGGAAGATATTATCCTAAGTTAGGTGGTCTCGTTAATCAGCTATTAAATTGATTAAACCCAACCAATAGTAAATTTTTTTAGTTATAAATGTATGCACAATAAGTATTGAAAAAAATAATGAATAATAAGAGAAAAATTTCCTCTGAAAAAAATTATGGACTCATAAAATTGTTTGTGAACATACATACAGAGGTTAGTGATGAACACACCCAACAGTAATGAAGTGATATTTGTCCACAAAATGTATGACAAAATGCATGTTTTATACAATGTATGGATCAGTTGTGGTTATAGTTGAGACAGAGACAGCACACCACAAGAATATATGTTCATTATATATAAAAATAAAAATAATATACAATACTAACAATGTTCTCGCAATTGAAATATGTTTTTATGTTTTGTAATACACTGATAATTGGTTCATCAATATTTGGTTTTATTTGGGGAAATATTAATTATGCCGAATATTGGGACGTAAACGGCAGCTTTATTGGCGGACAGTTGGCCACCATATGTGTCGGTAAGTGTTAAAATTAAAAAAAAATATTAAACAAAAATAAATTATAATATATTATAGGTTTTATAATATTTGGTTTGCTTGGACTCTACGCTTCATTCAAGAATAACTATCACATAATGACATCTTATGCTTCATTTGTTTTCTTCTCAATCTTCTTACGTGTCTTCACGTGGCTGTTGGCCTTCTTTCACGGTTTTCCTCTCAAGACTTGGTATTACGTATACATTATCTTTGAGATAATCCTATTATTTTTAGCGGCAATTGTATTACATAATATCAAACGCAATCATCCGGATCATTGAGATTATCATTTGAAATCATTTAAATTGAGTCAAAATAATTATGAAAATAAAGATAATATTTTAGTGATGATTTCCATTTGTAAATTTCRCTTATTTTATATCTATTTAAATAGTTAATACATTACATTAAAATATTATTAATTGTGATAATAACATTTTACTTTTAAAAAAATATAAGTAGTAATAATGTACTTTATTATACAGTACATTAAACTTTAGCATTAGTGTATTTAAACATTATTATTTACATTTATTTAACAAATGTAAATTATGCATTTATTATTAATATTATTATATTATTTTATTGTATAAAATATAAATAACAAATTACAAAAATAATCTAAACTTACATTTAACATAACATTAATTTATTTAATTTGTTACCAATTGATATGTGCACTAAAAAAATTCTAGTTTTCATTTAAAGAAAACAAATAAAATCATATATTATATTATATATAATGATTTATAAATATTTTATTACAATTAATTTTTTATTTATTCTTTTAGTTATTGTATTTTAATCAATGAGCTATTATTCTTATTTTATTATAACATTTTGTATCTAAAATAAATTCAAGTATTACTATTTATAATTTTATATTTTAATATATATATATTAACTCTTTTTTAAATATTTATTATTAAATCATAGTATTGTAAATTATAATATTAAAATTACATTGAATAACAAAATAAATAAATAAAAATATTTACTTACTAAAATTTTTATTTAAAAAGTAATATTTTAAAAAATAGTACTGTATATTGTTATAATTATTTTAAAATAAGTCATATTTTTATTTTTTGGATTATTTTTAAAAATTAGCATATTAATATAAAATTTTTTTATAAAGTTAAATAAACTACAATTTATTATTACATAAATTAAACAAAAATTTAGGTTAATTATATAAATAAAAATTAATTTTAATATATACAAATTTAATAGTTTAAAAACATAAAATAACAAAATTATTTATAATAAAATTATTAATATAAATTATTAGAAAATATAAATTTTTATTAATACAAAAATTTAAAAAATCCTTATATACAACATTACTAAATATATAAATTAATTAAATAAAAAAAACATTTTTGCAAACATTTATTATTTTGTTGTTGTTTAGCATAAAAACTTAAATAGCAGTTTAAAAGAAAACAAAAAATAAACAAAAAATGCATAAAAATTGATTGTAATATTGTTGCTATTATTGTATGTGAAAAGACTGGTTATAAAACATGAATTATATAATTGAATGAAAAAGCAGGTGCTCTGCACTGTTGTGTGCTTTTCTTCATAGAGTTCGGGCACGAAGTGATGATTAAGGCATCGCATCGGGACTGGCAGTCGCTAACACTCAACTGTGCTCTCTATCACACATACATCGGACTTATTAATCCTGAAAGAGTTGGTCTATACTATCCATAGGCCATWTGAAAGAACATGGAGAAGCAGGTGCTGCACGAATTAAATCCAGGATACATCAAATTAATGCATTATAAGTACATAAGTCTAGATATTAGTTGCGATCATATTTCTCCAACAAATTTTTGTCCATTTTTTTATTACAGTATATGTTAAAAGACTATTGAACCACATTTGCATTTAAATCAATCATCCGATAAATCATTTTCAAATCGCTTTTATTAATATATATATACCATTGATTGCTTACATTTAAAAATAACAATTACATCAAAACTATTTATCGCACGATTCAGTTGTCTAAAGAATTTAAAGAATTTATAATTTGTTGGTTTTATTGTTTATTCACTGGAATTTCGTTTTAATATTATTTGTCATTAAAATACAGTATATATATACTGTATATTCATAGTATATATTATATATATATATGATTTTTGATATATTTATCATTTTCTGAATACTTTTTATAAGATTATTAATTTAATAACAAGAGAAACAACTTCTAATGTATAATATGTTGTGATAAATAAATTAGATAATAATAACTATTTTAAACTAAAAAACTTATTAAACTATATTATAATATAATAAATTGTTTTATAATAATTATATTTATAAATAAATAAATCATTACTTAAATATATTCAACACAAGTTAATACAACATTATTCAACTTTAAAAATTAATTAAAAATATATTTACTTTAGATTTAAAAGTTATTATTTTAAATTTATTTATTGTCGATTTATAAAGTATTAAGTTATTATATAATTTTATTAATTTTCAAAAATTGCTAAAAACTATTTGACTAATTTAAAAAGTAAAATGTTTTTCTAAGCTCACGTTTATATAAAATGATATTTAGTAATTGTAATCTAATTTGATCATGGTTAATATTGTTTATGTACTATATATGTAAAATAAATCATTAGTTTGCTGTCGTGTTGTAAATTTAAAAGATATTTATTTAGTTAAAACAAAATAAAAGTAAGGATTAAACGTTTTAAATATAATTTTATAATATCATAATTAAAACAGTGATGAGTTGGTTGTAGTTTAATGACCACACTATTGATTGTTACTGTTGTTGGAACAGTTGTATTGATGGATGTCTTGTATCCGGTTGTGTGGAGTGGACTCCTTATGTGTGTAACGCGTGGATCTGCTACACGTGCGTGTGCTAGCATGCGTGTCCACGCGTAGGTAAGTGCTCCGACTATACCTGCTATCGACTGGTCCACCAACTGCCGGGTGACCACTG